ATTCCTAGTAAAATAAAATAAATTTTTATTTCAAAGTCTTGAATATCGATTAGTGACTAATTGAATATTTTTTAATAATTCCTGATATATAAAATGTTTCTTCTTGGAAACTTCGAGGCAACCTATTAATTTATTCTATAAATTACTTATCCCTTTCAAGAAGCGAATTACTTATCAAATTCTAGAACGCAAAACTTGATAAATTAAAATTAAATATAAAGTAATTACATCATATTCCTACCTGAAGCCCAAATAAGCAGACGCGAACAGACACCATGATTTATAAATTATGTCAGAGTATTTACAAAGAATCTTTTAATTCAATAAGAAGAACCTTAGATAGTTTTTGTTTTAGTAAAAACTCACAGATAAAAAGTGAAGCTTAAGTGCCTGAATTTGCTTGACCATATTTATTTTTAAATTACATTTTTTAATAATATTTAACTAAAAATATAATTTTGTGTATAATGTATAGTTAAAACCACTGTATCATATCATATTGAGGTGTCATATAATTTTAGAATATGGGAAGCGATAACGTCTTCGTAGATATCTTCATATCAATAATATGAATTGTTGAATGCAACCTTTCTTACTAGAGTACTAACTCATGCTACCTTGTTCCTACTTAATTGAAGAAATATAACGATGAGTGACAAAAAACTTCTGCGAAAAAGTTCGTTAAGAAATCCTGACAGTGTTCGGAGGAAAAACCAACATGTTCTGATACGATTACCGAAATCTGATGAAGATGGAGAAGAGTAAGTTGGAAAACTTTATAAATTAAAAACTAACACCGTTATTAAATCGAAACTGCAGATATTGTCTATTTCATTTTCTTTTTCTTTCACCGTAAATTTTCAGTAGCTATTTGAAATGTTTAGGGTCTAATGATAACGATCTTACCTAGGTATACTGATCAATGAGCCTTAAATCTACTTCATTATCATCAGCCTTTTTACGTTGCCACTGCAGGGATTCAGACCTTCCTTATGTATGGTTAAGTAGGATGGGCCATGCTGACCGAATGCAGATTGGTATTAACGACTGCAAATGCAGCCAACCAACGGCTTAAAGTGCCATCCGATACACGGAATTTGGTCACACATCCCATACTAACTACCCCACCGAGCTACTCCTATAAATCCACTGCTTCCTATATATTTATATTTTATACAGGGTTATTGGTGAAATACCAGCAGATTAACACCCGGTTGCACAAATGTCCATAAAGATTTTTATTGGCTTAAAGTGATATACACAAATTTAGAACATTTATTATAGATTGAAGTCGTTATAATACCTACTTTAATTGACGTTTGTGTGATTTTAATAATTGCCCTATTTATAGGCTACTTTGTATACTTAAAGATAAAATTTCCGTACCTGCTGTTAGACGCTTCGATTAATTTCACGCTGCGTGTATATATTTTCTTCCCACCGGTCAAATTGCAAACACAATTTCCATACAAATAAAGCGAATATGCTTACACGCCTATTGATATTTCGGTGAACCTGTTCAAGCTGATAGGAATAATTATTTTAGAAACAAAGTAAACTGTTTATCACATTTCTGTGCCTATAAATATTAGAAAGAGATTATTTGAGAAGGATTTCATTGTTTGCATCGAAAAGGCTTCATAACTTATGGACCAATTTTAAGAATTCTCTCACCTACATCATGCGCTGGCGACATAGGGTGAGAAAACAGCTACTATTGAATGAAGGTTAAAAAATATTTAAATATAACACAAACAATATTCAAGCTGCGGTTCACAAATATGACATAATATAGTTTATGTAGGGCAAATGATGATTTTGACCACTGGGTCGTTTTTTCGAAATTCGAGGCTTCAAGAGTTCTAATGCAAATAAAAACTTAGTTTTCCGCTTTACTTGTATCATAATATCCAGAATGACTTGTGCCGCCTCTACACATAGGCCAGCGCATTCGCCAACCCGCTGGAGGTGCGCTTGCCAACGCGTTTGTGAGTTAATCCACACATTGGAAGGTTGTTAAGTATGCTTTGGTTCGAGCCAATGTGCGGACGGATTCAAAATGGATGTTGAGTCGCTAACAGCTGCAGCTGTATATTTATTCACAGCTTATAATTACTTTGTAAATGTGCACTATTAATATTTACAACATTTTTATTTTTATGGTGCTTATTTTTCGGGTTCCACAGGCAGTTTGCACTCTGATAGAGCTCAATAAATTTAAATGTTTCCTCGTTACTCATATTGTTCGCCATTACGTCAAGTTAGGTGTTAATTCGGCTCAAGAAGAAAACGTGCACTCTTAATCGCTGCTCCGGGCAAACTGATCGCGCGGCCAATGTGTGGATGGTGCGCCAAGCTTGCGACAAGTGTCCTTTGATGTTTCCGACACCGCGCGGCAAGCTCGCAAGCGCGCCGGCCAACGACGTAGACGTATAATATTTTGGTACACATACACGAACAAAAGCAACGTTGATATAACTCGAGTTGTTACAGTCTTTATAGGAGGTACAATACGTTGAAATTAAAGCTAACTAACCTAATATCTCCAAAAAACATTATCAGCTAACAGTGAATTATGCGTAACCTGAACTTTGGAATATAAAACACGTATAAAATATATAATATGTACGAGAATATTATACATTGCAAACTATATGTATCAAATATATTTTTATAATTGTTTACATAGATTTTATTAATGTGCTGAACTATGGACATTGTTTTAAAGTTTAGAAATTACATTTATTCGTGTTATTAGTTGTTTCAGTCGACTTTTTAACTTATGGATGACAAACACATGGGTAAAATTCTATTGCAACATGATTTCATTGATGCCGCTTCTACAAATCATGAAAGTTCTAAAGTATGATAAATATCAGCCATAATTTTACTCGTGTTGTGTAAATGAGCGTCCTCGTTTTGTTTGAGAATAGCAACATTCATCAAATTCATGTGGCTATTTAAAAGATGACGTTGGAAAATACTTGAAATCTTAAAGATAACATTTACTATTAGATCGTTCTGTTATTTTCAGTGATTTGTAAATGGGCAACATTTTTCTGCAATTAAATGCTAGCCATGTTATGCAATATTGGTAGTATATCCTGGCCATAACCAAAAAACAAATTTTATGGTCGGCATTGTTAAAAACATTACATTACAGGGAATGGCAATAAGTTGCCAACAGTGCACCTACAAATTGCCAAAAAATATTGCCCGTTTAGAAGACTCTTTATAAAAAATATTTTGCATGTTGGTGTATTTAGTTAGGGAATAAATGGTAAATAAAATTTTGTACAGTCAACAGCACGTCAAGTCCTACAAATCTGTCAATTTTTTTCTCTTGAATTTAAACCTGATAAAGTATCAGGAAGGAAGAATAAAGGAAGCGTTTAAAATCAACTGTGGACATTTGACATTTTGTCTGACGTGCAGCTGTTTAGCAGCTGAAAATTACAATATATATTTTTTTTTAATAAAAATAGAACCGACCTTTAAAAGTTTTTACGTTTTAACGTTTTATAACAAGTTGCGTACGTTTTAGTGATATCTATTGTTATTTTTTATATAATAATAAGTAAAAATAAAAATATTAAAGCGAACTATTTAACAAAGTGAAAGTCTTAAAATAGGAGATTTTGTTTATTTGCTAGACAATTTTTTTTTTCAATAATTTATAATTACATTTGAAAGAGGAAAGATTTGATTGATTGATAGTTTGCATCGAAAATATCGTGAAAATAAAAACGTACATCACCGACAGACATGTAATCTCCTCTTTTTCGACTTTGAAGTCGGTTAAATTGAATTAGACAATTTAGTTTTAAATTGACTTAAATCATTGATAATATTAATATTTTCTTAGAAGTTACAAACTCCTTAATTTTTTTTTAGATATTCCTTTACTAATTGATAGATAACTATATATAGTTACAAAGTTAATATAAAATCAGGTTCCCTTATCCTCTTCTTAGTAAGTTTAAATGCAGATAAGTAAGTAGGTATTATAGTAGTAGAATAATATGAATAATATTGTTCTAGCAGCTGAAGTATCCTTGTTTATTGAACTACCATCCTATTACCGAAAATCTTAAATACCTAGAAAAAAATGTGATTTTGAATTCCAAGCACAGTATCTAATTTCTTCTAGATGTATCTCGAACTTTCCTCTAAATATCATGAACGCCATCTATCCCGTTATGGCGTTAAGTCTATACCCCTCACCCCGGCTACGCACAGCTGTTTTCGTATCGATTTTCATGTTATCCGCAAACAAGTTCATTGCAATATCAGCCAGTCTCCCAAACCAATACTGAAAGCTTCAAATCCAGTTAAATTAACTCTATAGTATATTACCTTAGAATTATATAAACAAACAATTATCAAGTGTCCACTCTCCGATCTAAATAATTGTGCAGGTTATGTTACTTAGTGTTTAAAAGATTGACAAAAGTGCATTTAATTAAATAAATATGGAACACCACATCGGTTTGCACAGAAGACATTTTATCAGTACTCGCGTTGAGGACATACCAATGGACACTATACGTTTAGTGTCACCTATTAATAGATTCGCAATATTTCAAGGAAATTTCAGTAGCGACGACGATGATTACCCGGAAAAGTAAGTAATAAGTATCCGGAAAAAGAAAGATCGTGGAAAAAGATATATTTCCAGTAGATAATATTCACAAAACTCTAACATATTCTAAAGTAAATTAGGTACCAAGTCAACTGCTGGAAAACAAGGTTGAAATTCATTACAAAATGTAAACAATATTGATGAATAATAATGAACGGAATCCTAATTTATCCTAAAAAATCTGTTATACAAGATTTGCAAAAAAAGGCAGCAAATATGGTTAAATACACTAAATTTCTGTCTTTTTCACGTTCCCTTCTCTATTATTGTTTTCAAATACATTTCCCTCCAGACTGGTTCACCACGTGAAAACGTAGTTTTTTCTGATCAATTGTTAAATTACTTTCTTTTATTGCAGGCCATATAAACTTCGAACGAAACTTATCATCACAGCCTTGGTGGTACTGGTCCTAGTGTCTGCTCTCAGTGGTTACCTCATCGGTAGGAGTGACTACAATGCATGGAAGAATGCTGAACCTCCAGATCCAGTCAACTCTCTACCACCATCACCTTCGTGGCTACACGTCTTCCAGAAGGCTGCTGTCTGTACAGATGCACCTCAATGCTCGGATATTGGCAGGTATTTATTGTACATATTAGTTTGCGACTAAATAAGGCGGCCCACCGTTAAAATTTCATAGTAAAGTACCACCATAGATACACCGTGTTATGCATGTGTGAATAAAGATTGAATAGAAATAGAAGGTTTTTGCCCCGAAATTTGGACGTAGGGTGTATTACAATGAGGGATTTAATAGACCCACGCTTTGCAACATAGCATTTGTCTGAGCCATGTGTCTATAAAAAAACTTTGCTACATTTATTAATGTAGGAGCAAACAAAGAAGAGAATAAATTATCTGTTAAAATACGGAGTAATAATTTAAGTTTACAAAAGGCTCTTTCTTTAAAGTAACTATTTAAGTTATATCTAATAATACGTAAATACATCACAAGATTATTTTATATGTAATTTCAGAATGGCTTCTTGTGTCTAGATCGTCTAAACTAAGTATATTGTAAAAATTTATGGCAACACGATAATCAATAATAATAGCAAATGAAAATCTATATTTTTTTAATGGTAGTATTCTATTTCATAGGATAAATATTTTCTAAAGCAATGCCAACTAAATATTGCTAATGTTGCTAGCATGACTTATGCTCCAACGCGTCAAGTAACATAAACTCAAATTTTAAAAACTTCAAGTTTACTTCATGATTTCTTATTACGTCATAAACGAATCATTCAAATATTTCGATATTTTTATAAGAATAGCTAGCTCTTACAAAAATTGCGTGCCTGAACATAGTATTAGAAACAAGTACCTTACCTCTAATTATTATTGTTTTTTTGCAAACGTGCATGGGCGATGTCACGAGAAAACAAAATAATATGTGCTATGTAAAATTACGAAGGTACTTAACTGTACGTCATCATAGGTTGTATAAGATAAATAAAAAGATAATGAAAATTATACAATAAGATTTATTTTACACTAGCTAGGTACCTTTATAAGTCTTCTGCTTCACGTTGAAATCTGTTCTGTAGTTTAAAAGATCTCATGACAGCGGGAAACAACTTCGTTTCATTCTGTATATAAATATTATTATCGTTGTATATATAGCACGTTGTGACGTTTATATAGAATGAACCTAACCATGTTCTACGGATGAAACTAACATATCTAGGCCAATGCAACTAGACTATTCCATAACATTCCTTAAATCTATTACTAATCTAGATAGCCATATTAAACTTCATCAAAAAAGAACACGAGGCAAATATCGTGATCTGCAATGACATCCCCAGTTCACGCACACAAATACACTAACATAAATAAACAAACCTCCGCCGTGTCATGAATAACCAGGTCGTAGTGTTCGGTTTATTCGACCAATCACGTTTCGAGAATTTTATCGACGCGCATGCGGTCAGTGACGTGTCGCGCACAGGCTATAAAAGCGCTGAGCGACTTCACAACGGGAGTATTCTGTTACAAGCAACTACTAGTGACGCCGTCACCGTGATAAATTTTCGTGGTTAAATCAATTTAATTATCCAATAATAAATATGTCCGAAGCTTTCTTCGACGAATACGACTACTACAACTTCGATCACGACAAACACATCTTTTCCGGACACAGTGGCAAGCAACGTACAAAGAAGGAGGTAAGCGAGCACACGAATCACTTCGATCCGTCCGGTCATTCCAGAAAGATCGTTACGAAGCTGATCAATACAGAGAACAATAAGAAATCTAATAACAAGCATTAAAGGAAGTGATCGATATACGACGATAATGGCTTGCAAACGGATAGTTGATTTGCCGAATGAAAGGAGGGTGTTATGGCGGATTCCCGAGGAAATTTCGGATCGCCGCTCATCTCAGAGATCATGGGAACATCCGAAGCGGTTTCTACTAACGCAGAGCTTCTACTTTTCACACCAAAACTTCAAAACGAGGTGCAGACAAAGGCCGAGACCACGATGAACCGGGAAGCTAATGAGAAATTGCGAATCGCCACTATTTCGGATTCAACATCTTTCCATAGACTGATCTCAACCCTAATGGACTTGTTATAAAGCCCAAATATGCTGTGTTACTAATTCCTAACTAGATTATTATATAATTCTGTATCTTTAAGGTACTCAACGACTGTAATAATTATTTAAGGTTTAATAAAAAAAAAAACTATATATTTCTTTTGTTTTATTCATGTCATCAGGAAGTTAGATGCCTTTGCCGGCTGTTATATTTGTGTGTGTGTGTTGTTTATACACAAATACAACCTTGGGCTCTGTCGACGAGGTGGCTGGCCTTGCGCTATTATCAGCTTGCCCACGTAGCCTCTCAACCGGCTATTGCGTCGTAGCAAAACAATAACATTGAATAAATATAAGTGTTTTAAACCAATGAAGATATGGATACAAAGTAATTTAGTACCTATCGTCTATGAAGAGTCAATAAATAATAACTGCAAAAATGCAACTTTTCAGGAGACGAAAGAAACTTTTCAAGTCTATTATATTGGTTTTTTCAGTACATTGCAATTATTGTTTATCTTACAAAAACATAAGAAACGAACCCAAAATCTTTGTCACTATTGTGTAGTAATCTATTTTACAACGAATAATATATAAAATAATACAATAAAATAAAAATTGACAAAATATCAGTTATTATTTATTGACTCTTCATGGGCGCTATCATATATTATAATATCTTAATTCTTCTTTGTTTGATTAGATAAACAAAGTAATATTTTTTTTTACTATAGGTATTCGATAACTTTTGTATTGATTTTTATTTTATATAAAAAAAACTTTATCTATAGGTACTAATATTCTTAACTTTATCAATATTAATATTCTTTCACCTATGGGAAGCTACACAATTACACTTTACGCGAACGAAATCGCAAGAAAGTTTGCAACTGAGCGATTGTTCTTCTAGCTTAAATAAAACTTTTAAACAGACGTTGATTTTTTTATGTTTAACTATAAAACAGTAAGTAGTGTAGGTATGTGCTAGGCAATAAGTACAGGTACTCACTGCTAATTCTATTTAATCCACTTTAAAATCGAAAAGGATGAGGTTATACTGTAAAGGAGGAGTGTGCTCGTCGGCGATGTATGTTCACCGACATTTTCGTCAGCTTAATGGATCGAGTTGGTCCCATTTAATTTTTATCGAAGTAGTTTTCCTTTTATATAAATGTTTCATTAGTATAACTCTAAATATCTCATTAACGAAAATTAACATCATGTTTTTCGTCATAGTTCCACAGTTTGAGTTCGTAATCGATTAGACAATGAAATTCAATTCCATGTTTTGAATTTTTCGCAACGTAAATGTTTTCTAGACTTTTACCTATTACTCAATTCAGTTAACTTGATGGAATTGTTTTGTAATTGCAAATTCAACGGTTTAACTGTTTCCGCACAATCTCAATTTTGATTCAGAATTATGTCTTCCGTATTCGTTCAATATTTTAATGAGACTGATAAATATAATGTTAGCAATTATACATTTAAGATATGATCAGGGGGCCAATTCTACTAAATAAATTTTGTGTAAATCGATTCGAAAACGGATTGAAACCGAACGAATCTACAGTTAATAATGGTTTTTCTATTCTACTAAGTGACATACGATACAATTCCAGCTAAAATAGAACTGAATAAAACATTATAATCACTACATAGTATAAAATAACGTCTCTTTCTCTGTATGCTTAAATATTTATTATATCTGTATGTATGCTTAAATATTTAAAACTACGCAACGGATTTTGATTTCGTTTTTTTTTTCATAGATAGGGTGATTCAAAAGGAAGGTTTTTATGTATAATACAAGACCACGCGGGCGGAAAACTAGTCGTTAATAATTTTCATAATATCGTTTTAGTAATTAATCGTTATAAACTATAATATAAGTTACCGTTTAATTAAAAGGTATTATGAGTCAAATTAGGGTTAAGTTAAAATGAGCATTAATTATATTGTCATATTACATTGCAAAATAAATATTGTCATAGCCTTAGAATAAAATTGACTAAAAAGTGGTAATTTCGTAAAAAAGTGCTAAACACTGCACCAGCTGATTCTAAATACGTCATCATCACCATTATCATTATAAATACATACCTAATAGTAATTCAATACCGTTTCTTATACAAAGGAACGCTTTTTTGTTTCATACACAGGCAGCTCTCTTTTTGCAATCATTAATTGTATTGTAGAAAAAACTTACAAGCAATTTTCCTATTAATTTAAAATATGGTCTGATAACTTCGATAAAGGGTTAACGGCCTGCTACGATTGCTTTAGGGGTCAATATCGATTTTAACTTAGTAGACAACTGTATTTCACTTGGAATTTCGAAGATATTGTAGCTGAAGTGTATGTATGCAATTTCGTTGGAATGGCGTGATATTCATATACATATTAACGCATCCCACCCCTCTGTGGATCGACGGGACAGGGCTGCCACCCCACCCCGTACCCCGGCGGGACTAGCTCGCTTGAACGATCCACCATCTGGGAAAGGCTGTTATTCACCCAAGCCTTTCCCCTCCCGCAGAGGGCGACTTTTCTATGCCCCCTGGAGAGGAGTCCCAGCGCGGATTGAGTCCGGGCCCTCCTTGCTGGATACCGGACTCATCCATCCGCGTGAGGTGAACCGCAGCGGGTTTTACCAGGTAGAGCTTCCACACTAACCTGCCCTTTTCAGGGCAGGGTGGAAGAGGAGCCCTGGTTTAAGGCTTAAGGTGCATTTCCCCTGCGTTAACAAAAAAAAAATGGTCTTCATGAGCTTCTGAAAACGTGTACAAAATTTTATAGGTGTATGTATTTGCATGGATGTCCCGCAAACTAGAAATCGGATTTCTATTATTCTTGTTTTGTTTAATTGCTTAACTTTCAAATTAGGGTACACTATAAGTTTCATCAAAGTAGATTTTGCAGGTATAAACTATTATAATACTATTTTGTAACAGTAGTAAAAAACACAAAAATATATATTAAAGTGACTTAAAAAAAAACGTAATAAAGAGAAACGACTGAAAAGAGACAAATAGTACCACACATTTTTATCTTCAATGATATCGAAACACAAGAAGTGGATACACCAACGATTTTTTTTTCTATTTTTTTTTTGTGCCAGACTCTTTTTTACTCGACCTTTTTGTGTTTCGATATTTGTTTTCCGATTTCATTGAAAATAAAAAAAGTTGTGTTATTATTTCAGTCGTTTCTCTTTATTACGATTCTTTGAAAGTCGATTTAGTTTCTTTAATTGTTTTTAAATAAATAAATAAATATTAGACAATACGTATATTGCTCAGATTAAGATTCCAGATTAAGTAGCTGTTCTCTAGAAATTTGAAGCAACGAAGGTACCTAAGTTCGTTGTCTAAATTTAATCGACCGTGGAATCAAAGTTAGTCCTCAGAAATGGAGACATCTTGAAACCGGTGTATGAGACAATTAGACACGGAGGTTATATCTTCATTGTTATTGCATTTCACAGCATACTTAATGTGAATTATCCTGAAGTGATAAAACGGGCTCGTAGTATTGCGTTAGTAGGTTCGAATCATAAATGCAAGATTGAGCTTAAAAACTGTATCGAATAGACACAAAAAACTATATAATATAATATAGTATTAGCTTTCCGCTAACCCATCTAAAATCAGTTGTGTACTTTAGAAGATCTAAGCGTAAAAACAGTATGAATTTATAAAAAAATACTAATTTTTTCTTAGGGTAAATTACTCGTATATACATAAAAAAGTTTTAATGTTAAGAACCTAGAAACAAGATAAACTGTGTCGATCTTACGACCTTATAATACAGGGTCGATGTAAAATCTAAAGAAGTTTTGAAGATGACGCCACCGTAAGTATAATATAATTAGAAGAAACTTATCGTACTTTCTTAGTGTAGTAGTTAAACTAAAGCTCTGTGTAGATCTGCGAACCAATGACGAGCTTTATAACTTTCACGGAGGGCATGACTGTACAAACTAAACTGACGTGCATAAATTCTGTATCACTTACAAAACGCTTGATTACTTCCAAAATATTGAAAATACCCTATTGAAATACGTGGTCTTTACCCACCACGGTCTTTTGAAATTCTATATAAATTATATTTTACTTTTTATTTATTCATGAATAGTCAAAAAGTAAATGCATATTTTGAGAGTCTTCCAAGTATTTCTAAATGATCCGGAGATAATGCTCTCGGTATGTACACAATAAATATCTCAATATATACGAGTCATTTAATAAATTATCTATATCTGGTTCGCCGATTGATTAGCCACAACCCTGAGTCCGAAGATCATAGTTTTTGTTCCGAATCCATTAAAGGTCATACTGATTTATACACTAATATTTTTTCTATGTCTTTTGAAAAGTAGAATAATGATTAACCTTTTCAATTTTGCTAGATATAAATATCAATGTGACGGTAATAAAAAAAGTAAAATACTTAAAAACAAAATATAGATTTTCGTTTACTAGATATTCATTTCAACTTTAGACGTGTTTTTTTTACTGTAGTAATTGAAATGTTAACTAAACATTATACATTATCAAGATGATAATTATTATCAATATAATAGATTGACGGCTCTAACGAAAAATCTGATATTAAAGATTAGTCATTAAGTAATAAACGAGTGAGAACGTGATGGGAGACACACATACAATCTATTTCTGTTATTATTACGTATCTTTTATTATTTATGTTATTATTACGGCATTGGCTAGAGCTAGTTGCATGAACAACATTACATGAAATATATATATTTATAATAAATTAATAAAATTTATAAAAAAAAAAATTCTAAATTTCGCGCGAAAACGACATATTCTATCATGTCACGTCTCTATAAAACTAAAGGTTTATTAAACACTACCAGAAAAAGTTATTGTCGCTTACTGTCTACACCCGTATTTGGCATATGTTTATTTTTTAACCAGTTTCTTACCACTCGTAGACCTGATTTTTTGTGAATTCTAGTGTTGTCTTGCCGACCAATTGGGCGACTAGCCCTTTAATTGAATGGGCCATTCAATTTCGCCCAAATGGTCGGCTGATTATACGACTAGGCTACGCCATCTACACAAATACTTATAAAAATTAGCAATGTCTATCATAAGGGAATATAAGATGATATTTTTCTTTTGTAATCAAAACTAAATACAACTGAGTTTTTCATTCAATATTATTTTAGAATATTAGTTTTCTAAGACTTTTATGAATATTATAATACAATTTAAGAATAAAAAAAATTTACCGGGTATAATTTTCATTACATCTCGCACTTCGCTTCGTTACTTTTTTTCTAACCGAACAACGTTACTGACCCACCCACAAGTCAACGACCGCATTAGATCGAAAAGTTCTTGCGTAATAAAATAGCTCGCGTATAATAATAACTAATACATCTCTGTGCTTTTAAACTACGTGGGATATTAATTAGGTGACACAAACAAATATAGACAACGAACGAGAAGAGTACTTTTAAATAGATTCGTTTCTCGTTATTTAATTTAACTAAAATTGAACAGGAACTTGTATCTACTTACTCTAAAAATTACTACCTGTACCACGAAATAATGTCCAAATAATCTTTAGTTGAAATTGTAAAAAATACATCATATTTCCGATAGTTTTATTACAGTCAAAACGTGAATTTAATAAAAAAATCTAAAGTTTCTCCTAAACTTTTCATTTGTTATTTTACAAAAAAAAATAATAAATATACCTATATATCACTTTATAGCCGACAGAATAGTGCAGCAATTTTACAATAATCGTAAATTTTTTCGAGTAAGTTATAAAAAAAATGGCGTAACTTCAGGGTGGTAAGTCGGCAAAATGCCACGGGCTAGAGGGGCCCCCAGTCAGAGGAGAATCCTTATTTTTGATATTCATTATTACATAATTAGTAAAAATAATACAATATCCGATTAATTTGCCACGGGCCTCAAACAGTATTATTACGCCGCTGATTATAAAATCCCATTTAAGCCTTATAATTCGCCATCTTCTGCTTGATCGAGATTGTCAATAAGATTAGAGGTCTTTTGGCTTTACACCTCCTCTTAAGAGAAAACAAGAAATGATTTGTGTGTGAAAAATTAATAACAAAACCTAACCTTATAATGTCTTTAATCAAGAAAAAGAAATTCCTTCTATTTGTGGACGGTTAACACGTTAACAGCACTCTTTATGTAATAATTGGCACTAGAATTTTTTGCTAGATTGTTGCCAAATCTTGTGTAATATTGGTAATGTCAACAAATGTTAATTTTTCACACATTTTTTGTAACAATTTTACGGTGTAAATATAACTTTGAAGTCAAATTCAGACGGACAGACATTGATTGTAATTAAAAGACAAGAAAAATCAATTTAAATACAATTTAAATAAAGAATTTTTATGTTAGATAAATTTCGCATTCGCAAACTGTATATTCATAGCCAATACCTCTGTTGTAATATTCATATAACATTTTCATAGTCTTTGGTTTTTGTCATAAAAATAATTTTGAATTTGGCATTTTTAGGTGCCCGAGATGAAATTATTTTCTATAATGTAATTCATGATCATAAGAAATACTGAGTTCGGCTTGTATTTTTCTATAAGATAAAAATATTCTTCAAAATCAGTATCGTTGATGAAGGTATCATGAAAACACTGAACAAACTGCATGGAACATCCATACAAAAGAAAATACCTACATTAGAATTAACAACATCATTTTTCGAAACCTGATAAAAATTTAAATAAAAAGAAAAAAGAGGTAATATAATAGAACACTAAAACCACGTAATCAAGACGTAATCCCGATAATAATTATGAACACAAAAACTACTGACTTTTTTTTTGAAACTTGGTGAACAGATAATTCCAAACCTGAATTAACATATTCCACTAAATGTTTATTTAGGGAGAAACCGCTCACAGAATGCTAGTTATATAATATTTTATTCATTCTATTAATTGCAGACATATCCTCTCCATAAATGGAACAGCGGTTGATGCTGCCGTTGCCGCGATGTTCTGCAATGGTATCCTGAATCAACAGAGCATGGGGTTAGGTGGCGGGTTCTTCATGACAGTATTCATCAAGTCTGAAGAGAAGGCCTACACTGTAAATGCTCGGGAAAAAGCACCGGCCGCCGCTACACCCGATATGTTCCATGGAAACATCGACAAAGCTTCCAAAGGTAATTTCTAGATGCAGTGAGTACTGTTGTAATATCAAAATAATATGTAAAATTATTATAGATACTACTAGCGCTATCTTCAGATATTAAAACCAAACTGTACTAGACGCGCCGCAATGTGTTATTAAGTTCCAACTAAGCAGCGTTGGGTTGCCTTTCTATTTTTTACGCGCTGTACACTCAAAGGCTACTTGAGCTTACCCCGCCCTCACTTTTTTATCATCGGCAATCTAGACGCACGGCGGGATACCATTTGGTGAATATCCCAAAACTCCGCACAAAATGATCCGCAAAAAATACCTTTTTATTTAACGCACTCTCAAAGGGTGGAATTCACTGATTGCATACATAAATATTTCTATTTTACCGAGAGCAAGCTGTAAGCCCATTAGTTGAAAAAAAAAGAGCGCATGGTCAACCTTCATTCGCGCAAAATAGTTGGTTCATTCCGACGATGGACAAACATAATTATTAAAATATAGCAACTGAAACATGAAATCCGTGTTTCAGGAGGCACACTAAGCCGGTACCGGCTGAATTTGCAGTCGTTAATATCCTTCAATCCGCATTGGACCAGCGTGGAGGGTCTTGGCCCATTTTTTAACCATCCAATGTCCTGAACCCCTGCAGAAGGGCGTAAAAGGGCTGATGATGATGAAACATGACATGATATAAATTTAAATCTTACTTTTGGATAAAGTCGGAACATGATTAAAATGAATAGAGTCACCATACGCCATATTAGTTGGAACTTAACGTAATGAACGCAACTTTATGAATGAATGGAAAATTCTTTATTGTATACCAATGGACAAAAAACAAAAATATGGATACAATAAAAATAAATGGACAATTGGCGGCCTTACTACTAAAAAGTAATTTCTTATTAACAAAATTATATCTACATTAGATTAGATTAGAGTAGCTTTTGGTTTCTCAAACTTTATTACGATATTATATCTCTATATATATATTTAGTCTGTACTTATTGCCTTTGATGCTCTGTAAGTACCTACTCTGTGGTCATGTTATTATATGTGAACTATTTTATTATATACTAAGTTACAATTATATTTAACGGATTCCTTCAGAATCCTTTGATAGAAGGCTTTCGGATTAACAATACCTTATCTTTTTGTTAAATATGTATATGAAGTTTTTACCTTCTGTTCTGAACCTCAAAAGGCAAAGCCACGCGCATGTTCGTGTGTCAGTCCGTTTACCACATCTTATTTATCAATTCACAGCTAAACTACTGGCCCAATTGAGATGAAATTTTGAATGTAATTTATAAAACACTAACCCAAAGACATGTAAAATCCATGGACTTGAAATTTTCTTATTTTATTCCTTTTATCGAGCAATCAATTATGTATACAAGTTGAACATTTTTGTTTGGCATGTGCTCATCAAAACCTTTAATTTGAGACCCATGTGGATGTCTACTAATATTATATAGAAGAAAGCTAATAATAAACAATCAATATTTGTTTTCATTGAATAGGCTCCGATTCTACTGATTATAAAATCTATTTTACCTACGGTAGTATACGCGAGTCACGTAGACTGTAATTTACGCGGGTGAGTGAAGTCGCGAAAAACCAACTAGTCTTCAACAATACAGATAAGGTATCAAAAAACTATTACATTACAAAAAAGATATACTTGGTAATCTAAGATTATTCGTGAGCTATCATATAATGGGTCGTGACCGAAATAAGACGTGACAACTTCTTTGTTGACACTCGTTATCGACAATTTATCATTAATTACGTGCGCATTGTTTTTAAAAACAACTGTATAATCAAACGACTACTTTGAACAATAGTCTAATGTTAACGCATAAAGCTACATAGAGTAATACCTATTATTCTTATACCTACAGTTTGAAAATTAATGCAATGAACTATAAATTTTAAAAGTTGGTTCATTTTTATTTTGGCATTGATGTGCTTTTTTTCTTATAATATTTAACGGGTTTTTTAAATGAAAGATTGAAAATGTGTTGATGATAGAGATGATAAGATGGATCCATAATTAGAAATCTATGTACTACAAAATATTTTAAATTTCTTGTCACTGATATATCTTTATGTTGAAGTGTCTTCACGACTCTAGTCAGATTTGTTCAAATACTTGGCAAAACTGATACACTATATGAAAATTATACAAACACTTTTGGTACGGTAACCTGCACTTAAACATCTCTAATAATGTAGAGAAACGCAGTTGATGTCTTATAATTTTATAATAGAAGTTAAATCTAACATTTCTCTACGTTTATCTAATTATTTGTATAGTATTTTCATTTTTTCCGTTCTTACACCTAACAATTATCATAATTTAACAATAAATGTTATAAAGAAGCGTCTATCATCTACTGGTACTCCAACGTATGATGAAACGTTAAGCTGAAAATTAAGTCTTCTAAATATTTTTTTGACGTGTTGGATATTAAACAAAATGGTTCAATTACCTCATTGCATCACTAGTATACTTTATCACGAAATCACAACGTAATTGAATGTTAATGAATTTTCAATAGAAGAGTTTCAGTTTTCGAACTTATTATTTACATATAAACTAGCGTTCCGGCATTAGCTTGAGCCGCGTGGGATTAGGCTATTACCTATTTTTCGCGATAAAAACTATTCTATGTTCTTTTCTATGGTCCACTCTATCCGTGTACCAAGATTGGTTCAGTAGTTTAGACGTGAAAATGCAACAGACATAACATACGGCCAGTTGCACAAACGCCCATTAAGGTTTAATGACGCCATTAAGTTCTAATGAATGTCATAATTGTATGGGTAATGTCACTTTAAACTAATGAGAACTTTAACGGACGTTTGTGCAACTCACTGATAGTTGTTATCGCACTATAATATTACTATGGATTAGTATTGTCAATTTTTATATCTAACAAAGTTTACATTTGTTGCATTCTCAGTCGTTGAGAGAACGCACATTCGCTCGCTCGCGAATTTCTCTAAAGCTTTCTCTCAGATCTGGTTCAGCAAGGACTGAGTGACTTTTACAATGCATTGTATCGACTAATATAGTCAACTTCGTGACATTAACAACTAATATCAAATAGAATAATATTATATTGTGTATAGTCCCTAAAAATTGTTTTATATTTTCAATCTGTATTATTTATGCTTCATGATTATAAAGAAGAAAGATTTGTTTGTTTACATACATCGAATAAGCTCAGAAACTACATGACGGAGTTAAAAAATTTTTTCAACCGCGATAAGCTACGTCTTACGCGGATTACATATCCTATCTTATACATGGTTAATCATATACATGGCTATCATTACGCAGTCACGGTTAGTTAGTTTTAATATGATTATAGGTATAATTCTTAAAAAAACATTAAGTTGAAACTAATTCGGGGTTCAAGCAATTAACCTAACATCGTTTTGTATGCAATTTCTGAATGAAATTTTATCGTAAATGCTAAGAGATAACATTCCACTTAGCGATTTTAATCTAGGTAGCACCTCGTTTACAAAACTTAATTTCTTATCCATTCTTAAGTCTGGATATAAAGACAAAACCATGTTTTTATATATCTATAAAGAGATAGATAGGAACAGAAGATGGAAAATCGCATTTCAAAAACGATTTTTGATTAAATACTCTCAAACCATTAAAATGAGAAAGTATTTAAAAAAAACATTAGTTCCCGAAATCTAACTAGATGTCGCCACGGTAGGTTCTTGTTTTCTCAATGACAACCTTTCCGGTTTTCTTTCATGTTTAAAAGTAAATTAGTTTTCAAAACTCAAACAACAACTCATATTCTATTTGTACTTTTTCGTATTTGTATTGATATCTCAGTTTCGAACTTTTCAAATTTCAGTTTTTTAATATGATAGTTTAAAGGAACGGATATGACTATATTCGGTCCATTCGTTTCCTGCAAAAATCAACTTTTGCTAGAGTCGCCATCTAGTGGAGGTGCTTTTTTTAGTGCTTTCGTTTATTTTTAATACTTCCACATTATTGTAAAACGATACATAATGGCATATTTACACTGGTTGATTGATTTACATGCATTTATTAGTCGGTCATTGTATCATTGACCTATGAGATGAACGCGTTGAGGTCGCTGTGGTAACTATTAACTTTCCCTTTTAAGAAAATTCCCTTTAAAAATTATAATTATGAGAAGAAATCAAACAAAATTATGAATTTTAAGAATACTTACCATTCTATTTTTTTTTATCCAATATAAATAGAATACACATTTTGAGGCCTTCAAAATATAAATTTCATTGCCGAACACAAGGTCTTTTAAAAACATTTAAAGACTTCGTGGAAGGATAAAGTTATATTTTATTCATAGGTGGACTAGCGGTAGGTGTACCTGGAGAACTAAGAGGCATGTGGGCAGCTCATCAACGTTGGGGCCGACTTCCATGGAAGAGTTTGGTCGCACCCACTCTTGAGTTTTGCAAATACGGATTCCCGATTTCCAAGGTGCTCTACGACGGTTTGGAAGCAGCGCCATACATAAAAAATGACCCAAATTTAAGGTAATAATAATATATTCTGATTGTGATTGTGACGTTTGACAAAAGCGTGAAGTTTGGATGAAAAAATAAAAATTATAAAATTGTCCTTCAAAAACTCCACAGTTGTTTTTCCTTTGTTGTTGCCCATCATAGAGTGGTGTGAGTTTAGAAATAAAATATTGACAATTTAACTACTTAAAACAGGACCAAATACATATGTTGTATAAAGGTGTTCCAGCCATTTACGATAGCTTCTTCTAAGTGTATTTATCCTATTAACATTATAAATGTGAAAGATTCTTTGTTTGGATGTTTGTACGTCAATCAAGCCGAAACTACTGAATGGATTTTGATGAAATATGGTATACAGATAGGGTGTTAGCTGACTTAGATAATAGGATACTTTTTATCCCACTAAACATTTCCCTAGGGTCCACGCGGGCGAAGCCGCTGGCGAAAGCTAGTTATCTATAAAAGTCATTGTGGTTGTTCATTAGATATGTTATACATGTTTAGGTTAGGTTAGGTTAGGTTAGGTTTTTGTAAATTTCGTTCCATTTGTTAGATCTGGTGAATTTCTTTCCTTCGATTTCGAAAGGCAATCTGAACAGGTGGTAGATAAAAGTAATGGACAATTTGAAACAACTTTTGTTAAGTTTATTTGATTAAAGATTATTTTGACTCAGTTGTTAAGATTAAAATGAATGGGCCGGCTCGACCGGAGTGATACCACGGCCTCACAGAAAACCGACGTGAAGCAACCCTTGCGTTGTGTTTCGTCGTGTGAATGAGGGTACCGGTAGGCCCAACCCCTCCCTATTCCCTTCCCTCTGCCCCTCAACCCTTCCCTCCCTATGATCATATTCGTCCCTCAAAGGCCGGCAGCGCGCTTGTAGCCCCTCTGGTGTTGCAGGTGTCCATGGGCGACGGTAATCACTTACCATCAGGTGATCCTTCTGCTCGTCTGCCCCCTATCCCATAAAAAAAATGTACTTATTCCATCGCACTACCTTGTACCTATGCTCTAGAAATGCATAGTATTATTATAACGAGTAACCGAATATCGAGTTTCACTCGTTTCCTTTTTTGTCAAAACGAGTATTCAGTCAACTTATTCGGTTCAGATTCCCGGAGTTCTGTAGCAATAAAACAGGTTTGTAAATAATAATATTGGTAATGCATCACAGCGGCATTTTGGCTACACTTCTAGCTGAAACAGTATTTTACTACTATTTTACTACGGCTATGGAGGTCGTTATTATCCTATCATCAAGTGTATTATCTTCTGTTAAATTAATTGTTTGAAATTTACGAAATAAATACTTATGATGACTTATAAAAATAATGTGCTGCAATCAATAAATATCAACACAATTTCAATTCATTATTTAACTTTATATCTCATTTTATAGAAGAAAAGATTAATTAGTACATATAGGTAACTTACAACTTTAATATATACTTATCTACTAACATTCAAACGTTTGCACTAGCCTTAACTGGACACTGCAAATTGAACAGACACCAATTTCGTATGAAATTAAGTGACACTGATATTCGCAGAAACTGTAAACAAGAATCTGAAACAAAACATCTCCTGAGTGAATGTAGACTGGTGTTTCACAAAAGAAGCATACATCTTAGACGACCCATAATCAACCGAGTTGATATAAAAGCTCAGAAAGTAAGGAAAATTATAGACTTAAAAGAGCTACTGTGACTTTGGCGGCGAGTCACAAAAGATCTTTCAGATTTCAGTGACTACAATTCCATAGAGAAATACATAGCTATACCTACTAGCAAGCGGACCACTCTATATAAATGAAATAGTATTTTATTTAATGTTAGTGTATAAAATACAAGGAACATAAACAAATATAAGGAAATGGCATCCTTAAAATACATCTCTTGAACGTGTCACCAAACTACTAGTTGGCAAGGACTTCCCGTCTTGGGTTTAAGGAAAATTATAATTGTTTCCTGGATATGTATTCTTTGACATAATTAATAAGAGCAATAACAACTGATTGATTTGTAAATAGGAATTAAAGAATAAACAAATAGTTTAACTTCGTTTCGTTTATTAACGCAATTCAAACGATACCCATTTAATTTCAAACTTATTCTCGGTTCAAACTAAGCAAGCGAGTTCAAGCTCTGGAACGCAACTCCCTCCCCAAACACAAGCTGCCCTTAATATATTAACTTTCAAACAATTGTTACGTGAAAAGCTTCTAAGTTCTCCAAACGTTTGTAATTAATCTGATATTTTTATATTTATATATGTATGTATTAAATATACATTTATTTATGATATGTAATATGTTTATTTCAATCTCTGTTTTTTATTGTATAGGTGTCTATATTGACTTTATTTAATTTTTTGTAGCACCGCCTTAATAAAGACTCCATTTCATAACTGTCCGAGCCGACTGGTAGAGAATGCTTACTAGCATTGAATCCGCCATTTGTACGCTTTATTTGTGCAAAGAAGATTAAATAAATAAAACAATACCAGTAAGTACTTAGGGTGATATCCGTAAAATGGAGACGATATTTATCCATAAAACACGTTTTTCTTCCCATGAAATACATACTTCAAGGAGTATAAAAATTTGCCGAAATTTACACAAAATTTGATGATTCCGTAAATTCCATGACTGAAACTGTAAAATATATTAATAATTCTTTATTTACAGCAAAATGTTCACGATTAAGGGTATGTTCCACACGCCAGGAACGATAGTGAAACCGTCAGAAGCCTTCTGCAATACTCTACAGATAATCGCCGAAAAAGGTGCAGATGAGTTGTATAACGGTAGTTTGGCGACAAGCTTCGCGGAAGATCTAAATACCGCCGGGAGTATTATAACGCTTGAAGACTTGAGGAACTATCAGTAAGTGTTATTTTTTATTGTTTATATTTTACAAGCTGTTTTCCCGCCATCTATCTACGTATGGTGGAGCTACCCTCGGGTGTAAGAATTTTTAAAATTGGTCCTATAGTTTCAGAGCCATTTCGATGCAAAGAAACATAAAATAAGATCTTTCTCCTTTTTAGTATTAGTAAAGATATATTATTATATTTGATGAATTTTGTATTCACAATGCTATACTGAAATATTTTCTTAATAAAATATGCTTAAAAATTTACTTTGTCCCTGGCACTCTGAGATGGGACGGGAACCCACGACCTTTCTCAATCCGGGCGACTGCTCTAACCACTGAGCTACCTAAGACCTAACAGGACTGTCGCATTTTTAAGAACTTGTCACTTTTTCGCTAATACAGAGCGTATTTTCATCAAATTTCAGACAATCCAACCGAACAGCCGAAAGAAATATTTTTACAAATATTTAAAACTTACGATAAAAATGAAAATTTTTATTATTATATTGATCAATTTCTTATTCACTGATTCACTGAATAATATTTTGATAGACAAATGACGGTATTATTAATTAAGAATACTTTTTTATCGAAAATAGTTAATGTTAGGATTACTGTGTTTTTTTGTATACAATAATCTATTTCAAGATTACTAACCGTAGGGTACGTGGAAGTTCATTACACATATAAAGATGAGTAATACACTCATACGTAATTATCATACACGCGGAGAGAGTGAGAGTGAGAAATAGATATACAGTATTGCTTTTTTATTTTATTTCTTTAACATTAATTATAAAATACATAGGTAAGTGTAACTAAGGTTCCAAAAGACTATTTTATAGTTTGACAGTGGAAAATATTTGTACCTATCTTTTTATTCTTAGTTATTAAAACTTAACACATCTTTTCAAAAGCATTTTTGCATTATACCTAGGTAGACATAATGCAAAATTAACAGGGTAGGTACCCCATCTAGAAGATTAATAGCGTTATCTGTGCCATTTTATACATTAACCTAATATCCAGCCGACAGTAACAGCGCATGATAAAGCAATGCATACTTATAAATAATATCGAACTATTAATAAATTATCGTATGATACAAACAAACACGAAAGAAATATAAAGGAAAATTTTACCTAGTTCAAAGTTTGATTAATAGAAATCAGTTTCATGTAATAATAAAAAACAAAGAAAATTTATGAATTAGGCAGATTACATACTATATCCTTGGATACAGCTACTTTGTGCTGTGCTCCTAGAAAGGCATATAATGATATCTTCAACAACTTGTAATGTCCACAAAAATGGTGTTCATAACGTACGTGTCGTTAATAATAGTACAAACGACGAAATAAAAAATATGTAAAAAATATTTCAAAGTTAAAAAGAGGTCGACTAACCTGCCGGTCCTCAATAAAAAGCCGTGAAAAGAGATCCAAATGAAGATTATTTTAGTTTTTTATCTTACTAAAAAGCAATGATATTAATATGTCACTCATTGCTAAAAAGTCTTTATTACCGATATTAATCTAATATTTTTCTATGCACGTGAAATAAAATAAAATTGCAATTGGTAAAATATATACGTATAAAGAGAACGTAACGATGTCAGTGTTTTTAGCAAAACTATTTAACAAAAAAAGGGTTTTTTAAAATACCCCGTATAAAATATATTAGTAGAATCTGGCGATTTCACAACAATCATGGAATTCGTTGCTTTATTTAATGACTAATACAAAATTACTGTACATGTTTGAATAATAAAAATACCGAGTAAAACATTTATCATTGATAAGCCTACCTACTTGTACGAGTAAATAAACAAAGTCGACTATCTAAAGATATCGACACGTTATATAAGACTATGTTTTGTGTATTAAATATAAACCTCAATATCACAGATAATAAAGTAGGTGCAAGACAAAAATAAGATTAACGATTCAAAACAATTTGACAGGCAACATGATAAAAATATAAATAAACTATTGCAAATCATAATACTATTGGAAAAACCCGAGATTACCATATTTCCTGCCTACATAAATCGAAATAAAATACTCAAACAAAGGAAAGTATTCTAGAGGCAGCAATCTCTTCCAGTGTGAGGAGTGGGTGCAATATGAGAAAGAAACAATAAATAAACAGCGGATATAACTTTAGACAAACATATACGAAGATGCTTTGAAAGACAAACATACTTAAATTAAAGTTCTATAAAAGCAGGTAAAAATATAGTTTTAATAAAGAAGGTTGTTATAGAATATGACAACGTGCTTTCCTGATATCTGATTCTGAGATCTGATAGATTCTGAGAGAGAGTTCCAAAGCCGCACAGCATATACAGTAAAGGAATAGGAAATGAAGTCTGCAGTGTGGGGTAAAGAATCTCAAGAGTGATATTCGAAGAGGAACGCAATAAATATTGTGTAGAAGAAGGCCGGAAGGAGAAGCATTTTTAAGATAAAGCGGAGAAAATGGGAGAAAAGGTATAGAATAAAGAACCGTAAGAGTGTGCAACTCCCTGCGCCGGCAAATAGGGGGCCATTGTAACTCAGATCGAAAATGTGACATATGGTCATATTTCCTAAGATTGAAAATAAATCTAATGCAGACATTCTGCAGACACTCAAGTTTGTGCTCTGCTCCTCCGACAAATCCGTATAACATACATCAGCGTGTTCAATGATAGAGAACAGAAGAGAGAGCTGCTAAGGTGATTTATGTACTAGCTGGCGGAAAATTATGGAAGCGACTGAGAAAACCATAAACAGCAAACACTCTTTTCTGACTCAACGGGGTTGAAGGCGTCACTGAAGTCTAATAACGTTAACAGAGTCAGCTGTATATTCTTCATATCCCATCGAATGTCATAGGTAATCTTAACCAACGCAGTGGAAGTAGTACTATGACCCTTGCGATATCCAGATTGTAGAGAATTGAGGATACGATTAGAATTAAGGGCTGTAGTAAGCTGTTACAATCTAATAAATAATACTCTTGTTTGTTAGTCCGTACTCTTTGTTTACCTTTTTTTTTTGATAACGCAGAGGAAATGAACCTCAAGCTTTTTTAAACCAGGGCTCTCCGACTCCGTATCCGTCCTGAAAAGGACAGGCTTAAGCGGGGTCGGCCTACCTGGTAAAACCCGCTGCGAGTACCCTCCTTGGGGGGGGGACTTGGGATCCAGCAAAGAGTTCGCCGGGTCCAGTCCCACACTCTTTATTTACCTCCTTTGAAATCAGATATAATACCTACTCTATATAATTAATTTCTTCTAATAAAAAATAGCAACTCTAGAACTGATATGACGGGACCGCATCAAGGCTTAGATTTATCTTACACCACAAAACAAGAAAAAGATATATATTACACCTTGTATATTACAGAATTTTGTATCAGACCTGTTCTAATACACAAAGCCATTGTTCTATACAAGTCTAATAACAAAACTACATATGTAACGTACGAGTGGATTACAAAGACTAGGCTATGTATGACATAAGGAAAATAGAACAAAGTAGAGACTCGATTAACCCCTTAAATATTAATGGTACACCCAACGGTGACACAATTCCGGAAATTTCCTTAACATTAGACACACTTAATGGACCTCAGATATACGGATTCACGATTATTTAGATAGCTGAACGTGATAAGGAACCATATTAATACCTAAAGAAAAAGAGTAAAAAATATTACGACAAATTTTAATTAGAAGTAAATAAATACAACAAAGAATCAATAATATAGGTATTATTATATTCGATGAATTTTGCATTCACAATGCTATACTGGTAAATATTATTTATTAAGAAATGCTTAAAAAATTCAATTAACTCTGAGATAGGGGTCTCAAATCTCAGAGAACCAGATACAAAGTTGATTTTGAAGTATATAGGTATTGTTACTTAATAAACGTGTATGTTCATTCAATAATACTCTTTTGGTTTAAAAACTACAAGCACAAAAGATATTACTAAATTATATGAAAATGAAAATCTTTTGTTAAAAGAGTAAATTTGTATTAACAAATGTTGAAACATGAAACCCATTAACATTCAACTAAATTAGATATGCATACCGCAAAGCCGCCAGAAATTAATCTTTCATGGTACTCATTATGTAATTTAAATTCAACAAATCCTATGGAAAAAACTGTTTGAATTCTCAACATATTTTCCAATTTTTCAGGTAATATTTTATTACGACTTCATTATAATGAACAAATGACTGAAATTCTATCTGAATAATAATAAGTCGTATAATAATGAGATTGAGGACGTCCATCTCTGGGCAATCTTCTTCGTTGTCGTTTCAATTTTGATTTAGGTCGATAAAATTTCAAATTTTAAATCACTAAAATACGATGCCTTTGGATACATTATTATGTCGTTTTTGCCCAAAATTCTTTTGACATTTCTTCCTCTAAATTCCGATTAATACATTTGTAAAGTATGTAGGCTATGACGTCATATAAATTCCAATTACCAGTTCAATTCTTCGCGAACATTATCGATTAAGCCGTCGTTTATCATGAAATCATGACCATTGTTTAACCTTCATAGCGATTCAAAATGTTACTTTAACTAATACTTGAAAAGTCGTATAAATGCTACAGTTATAAATGAAAAATCACTCTGGAGATCAGAATAATAGAGTTCATTTTCAAATATCATCCAGATTAACCTGCATATAGTTCATTTTCTACAAAATTGAGAAAAATATTTAATCACCTGTACATATGAGTCATATTCGTAATGATTCAACAACAAACGAACTTCATTGTTTATTAATGTAGAACATTCATTTACAAAGTATGTAGGTATATTAAGTAGGTATATTTATTTTTTATGTTGAAATCTTTGTTTTGAATTACATTATCGAAAAATTAATGGATTTGACACATAAGTTCATTTACGTATTGACTATGCTTTCTGGTAACACGCAGTTTCTTTTATATTACTATGCAATATGGATTATTTCAACAATGTATACAAATATCAAATCATTATCGTAATATTATATTATTATAGAAGTAAAGAGACTATTTTTAATATTTCAAAAAATATTTAATAACTTTAATGAAATGTTATCAATCAAGTATATAAAGACGTTATATGGAGGGTGGTAAATTGCGTGTAAAATATTATTTTTAATTAATTACTTGCAAACCATTACGGTTATTGTAAAAGCATTTGAAATCATCATGTGCAAAAATTGTTGTGATTGGTCAATTGGATTCCAATTGCTGGAGGGTACCCCGTCTTGCCAGTCTTATTTATCCCTATTTGGCCCTTATTTACAAATGATAAATCAAAACTATTTTAATCAATAGGCGTTAAAAATTTAAGATGCAAGTGAGAGTTTGTATACAATGACGGCGAAAACAAATAGCATGCCTACATCTATGTTTTAAAAATAATAGAGAAACGGTAATATGAAAATTCCCCTTCATCTGATAGTTTATTCTGAAAGAATTAATAAATTAAATAGCATTTAGATTATTATTGTCTTTTGTTTATTATCTACATAAATGATCTTCCAAATCAAATAAACGAACAAAGCATCCTTTTCGCTGATGATATTACTGTTACTCTTACATGCTCTAATACATATGAGTTGGCAGAGAAACTTAATACTATTCTTAATAAAATCAACAACTGGCTCATACAACATAACTTGGAACTAAACATAAATAAAACAAAATTAATACAATTCAAACCCTATCAAAAACTTCCGCTTCAAATTAATTATATGTATAATAATGTAAAACTGGAGACGGTACCATCTGCTTCACTTTTAGGCATTGATCTAGATACACATTTAAACTGGCAATCCCACCTACAAAAACTGAAAAGTAGATTGTCTTCATTTGTTTATGCTTTACAACACTTGAAAAAAGTTACAGATCTTAAAACCGCACTAACCGCTTATTATGCCTATGCACACTCCAGGCTAGCTTACGGAATTATCTTATGGGGAAATTGTAATGACGTCGAGAGTGTTTTTATTCTGCAAAAAAAGTGCATTAGAATTTTAACTAATATAGATCAGATGGAATCATGTAGACCTCACTTTAAATTACATTGCATACTTACGTTAACCTCAATCTATATCATGGAATGTTGTAAGTTTATACGAAAACATGAAAATTTATACTCACCGGTAAAGTTGGCTAAAAAGAGAAACAATCGCACAGAAAACCAAATTAAAGTACCGTTTTCTAAACTGAAATTAGTCACTACAGGACCTCATTTTATGGCCATCAAAATTTATAATCATATTCCGAATAGCTTAAAGAAAATAAAAGAAACAAAAAAGTTTATTACAGAGCTGAAAATATACTTAATAAGTAAATGTTATTACAATATTGAAGAGTTTCTTAACGAGAAGTAACAAACTGTGCCCAAATAAAAAATAAATAAATAAAAAAATAAAAAGAATAATACAAAAAAAGTATATATGAATAAATGTATCAACTATGTTTAAGGTTTATAAATTAAGTAATTAATAAAATAATTATTAAATGAATTAATAAATGAATGTATTGTAAATGTATTAATCGAGTTTAAAGTATATTGGATATGTAAGTAAAATAACTATTAAATGTAATAATAATCACTAGAACAATAATATATATAAGTAAAAATGGCAATAGTTGCCCCTCAGTATTGCTGTGCCCTTACAGGGCGTCACTTGTACAAAATTAATTTATAACATCTGTATGACCTGTGACATATCTATAATAATTTCTTCCCGTATTTTTTAAGAAGTTCGTACAGGTTTCTCGCCTCTTTAACAAACACTTTTTTTTTTGTTTGAATCGTAGACAAATATTCCAATCAATTGTATTTGTAATAAATTAAATAAACAAAAACCAGTTAAAGCTAACATACAAAATTTAAACAGGTGCGCATAATACCTATATTATTCAAAATTCATATACCTACACATTTTAATATGAAAACATAATGCATATATTTTTCCGTAATAAAATAATTGTCTTTTGTATATTTTCTATGACTTTCCAGAATAGGAACTTTTCTTCGACTACATCAGAATAAGGATGGTGACTAATTTATTTATCCTCCAGATACATTATAGAAAACAAGAAATATTTATTTTTGGCGTAATCACATTAAGTTGAAATATCATATGACGTCACACTTTTGTAGAAAATCTACAATAACTACTTTCAATCATCTCTTATCAAGTAATAATGGTTTTTAATAAGTAGATCATGTTTGCATACTAATGTGATAAATTTTCCATATAATTTGTTTCCTGCTTACATGACACGTAATATGATTAATGTGTTAAATTATCAAATTTAATTAGACCGCTAGCGCCATCTATTGACAGGTTGAACGAAAGTGCTCTTAATATTTTTTCTAATTTATATTTTCATACAGGAAAATTTGTTTTAACTATGCATAAATATTATTGTACAATTTAATATGGCGAATATAAATACGTCAGTCTTATTGGCTTTTGTAGTTATATGTTAGAGCAGTCGCCCGGATTAATAAAGGTTATGTATTCGAATCTTGGGGTGGCTGGAACTGGTGCAATTTTTTTAAGATAAGTATCATTATAGTATTGTGTAAGTATTTTCATTTTACAGGGCGGAGATACAAGAACCTATATCTTTCTCCTTGGGTAACGGTGACGCCCTCTATGCCCCTCCTCCGCCAAGTAGCGGAATGATACTCGGGTATATCCTGAGCATCCTGCAAGGGTACAACTTCAACGCAGCCAGCATCAACACGACTGACGACAAGATTCTCACATATCATAGAATAATCGAGGCTTTCAAATTCGCGTACGCAACGAGAACAAAGCTTGGTGATATGAATTATTTGAATTTGAAAGAGGTAAATAAATATTATTTTTCTGTTATAAGTACCATAAAATGTACTATAAATATAAAAAATCATTTAAGTAGGTAACAGCCAATCCACATGTCAAGAGTTTGACAAGTTAAGGCTTGTAGAGTTACAAAATTGGCACTACCTAATCGACCTCAACTCTGTCACGACATAGAGTTTCAATGGAATAAAAACTTTATTACCTTAAGCACTAGATTTTTGTATTAAATCTCTATGCTCGTCAGTCAAGTTTTCGGTTATTTTTAAAACAGAATAGCACTGTTGAAAACTAGTTTATTTTTTTATGAACACAGACTACAATCAACAGACAACTAAAAATACATTGTGCTAGCCAAAGTGTCGTCTTGGCAATATTTTACATGAATTGTTTTGTGGCATATAACGTATTAAAATACTGTAGAACATTTTAATACGTTATCAATATACAATTAATCGGTAGGGTGTGTGTTTGGGCCTCTGCTGCTGCATCCTTTCGTTTTCACATTATATCAATTTATTTAATCTTTTGCCCAAGAATGACATTTTATACTTCTCATGAATCGTATATTTCTATCACGTTTTATTTGCACGTGATATATATAAATTTTAAACTTGAAAATGTAAGCTATTTTGTACAAAATATTACAAACTATAATATCAGCAAAATACTTACAAATAATAAATTCATTATGTTTGAGTATATTGATTTTTTACGATATATATAACAGCTGTTTAAATTATGTCGCGACATGTTTATTAATAAATAGTGTGCAATATGTTTACCTGCTCCGCAAAATTTTATAGCAAAAAACAAGCATAAATTAGTTTTTTTTTTTATTGGTGTTTGGCATTTATAAAACTGACTAATATAAAAAATATACCAAATAAGGCCCCTTAAAAAATATTATACCTACCTAAACAATACGTTACTAATTTCATAATTTCCTCGTTCATCTGTCAAGTTGTTCTCTCTTTCTAACTTGGGATTCAACTCGATTAATAGCATATGTAATATAACTGACATAAATTGGTTACCAAAAAATAAATTCAAAAAAGATTTATCTTTCTTTCGCCTAGCCTTATCCCATCTCCTATTGCGGCGTCGCCAGGATGTCCTAACCTGGGTTGTCTGAGTATTTGGACTTCTATAAAGTCTTCATTTGCTAAAAAAGGATTCATATATAAGTTTTTATTTAAAAAATCACGAATAAATATAATTTGGCTGATATACTGTTTCTGTAACTTTATAGGATTGCATGCTGCACCTATAATTGTCGTTGCATTTATGTACTTAGTATAAAATTTCAAAGAATGTCAAATTTAATCTAATCTGGTTTTGATCTAGTTTTAGATAATATTCTTAACTTTACAAATATTAGTTAATCTACCCTACAAATAAAATTTCTACCTACCATTTACAATATCATATAAAGTTTTCTACTATTGATATCAAACAGCAACATCTGCCCAAAATTACTGTATTTTCTAATAAAATAAAACCTTTTCAGTTAGATTTTATTTCATTGAACCCCTAATCCTGCGACAGCCCTATTTTAGACGCAGTATTTTTAACTTCGTAACACTGCTGAACCTTCCGAATACCACTATCAAGGTCTACTGTCACTTATGTATGACTGTCTGTCTTCAGATATCTTTCATAGGCGTACCACAAGTAATACGCACACGGACTGACACACACACACACACACACAAAGCAAAATATGAACTCTGTATTTAAATTCCTTTTGTACCTATTTCCTTTTTTAATAATCCTTTATTTGATATCTTTTTATTAGGCATTGTTTACTTATGCGGGGAGGCCTTGGTGACTAGTGTAACCGGTTTCTTGCGGCATTAGCTATTCACACTTGATTGAATGTATAGTCCTAATAATCTATATATATACAATTCTTGCGTTACTACGTGACTGACTGACTGACGGACTTACAGACAACCTATAGCCGAAACTACTGAGTAGAAGAGCACTAAGAGAGGATTTTTGAAAATTCCCCGAAGGGGTTAAATTAGAGGATGAAAGTTTGTATGAAACTTCGTTGCTACAAGTGCTAGGAGTTTCAAATTTTGCATGCGGGTTCCCTGTACGAAGGTACTCACTAAGACAGGATTTTACGAAATTCGACCCCTAAGAGGGTAAATTAGATTTAAGAGGGGAAATTTTCTTACTTCTGGACGTCGCGGGCAAAAGCTAGAAGTATTTAAAATACATAATGTTCAACTTTGTTTAAAAATAAATAAATAATATTATTCATTTAGACTAATCAGATGTTCTTTTCGGCACACAGTTAATGAACAACGTCACAGATCCCAAATACGGTGAAGCCATTCGTTTGAAGATCAACGACGACCGAACCAGCAACGACTCGTTGTTCTACGGCGCCGAGCAATACAGCCGACCGGACGCTGGTACAGCACACATATCAATAATCGCACCGAACGGTGACGCCGTGTCGATTACTAGCTCTGTTAATTACTAGTAAGTCTTCATAATTATATAGCACAGTCGCCGAACAGAAATTACGTTGATTGATAGTACATTGACCTTTAAGCCAAACTGATTTCTTATATTTTCACGCGCACTATTCTTTACATGAAATAAAACGGTCAACAGTGATAAAGACGGAGGTTGGATATTATACTACCTAGCTAGGGATCCAATAATTAGTCAAATAAAATCTAAATCCAGACCACACACTGCAAAAACAAAAGATACAATTAGTTCATCCTGTAAATATTAAATCAAAGGAAGCATTCACTTTTCTTGTCGGAGTTTGTTTCGCCGGTTCTTATGGGCCAGACTCCCAAATTTTGAAATTGTGGTAGTTTACGGTAGCCAGGGATAAATGAACAGTAAATTAATTAATTCAAATGTATATTTAAAAATAATTTATTTAAAACATGTAAACGTTCCCATTGAATATAAAAATTTTGTATTGTAAATGTGTCCAATAGTATTATTTTGAAGGTAGCTTGTGACGAGTTCGATGCTTAGGCAAATGAATGAAAGGCTGTCTAAGCTTGAACATTTGATTTATTAGAGGGTAATAAGAAAAACTGTAACAAACGAAAAAAAGGAATATAAGAACAGTTCGTATGATTACCTTAATATGTAATTACAATAGTTAAATAGAAATTACATATCCCGTTCTGGATTTTCCGTAATAATAGAGACTTCTTAACGCACCTAGACTATCCAATTTTTCAATTTTATCCTGTATCTCATGTTAAGGTTGCCTGGAAGAAATTGCTTTTTAGCAATAATACCGTCAAATGTACTGTTGGTTACAATATTATCTACTGTTTATTTACTTATGGTGTGTACAATAAATAATCTTTCATTAATTCATTGATACATTTATGCTGCCTTCCAAGCGATGGTTGAAATTTGTGAAAATTACTTTACTTTCGAAATCATGATAATAATCCCTCCTGAGCTATGTAAACAAATATTGTTGTTGTTGTTATTATAGCAACTATATTGTTTACGTAATTCACTCATATTATCTCAGATACCTACATGTAAACGTAATGTTTGGTCTGCGACCTGAAAAAACATAAACAAATACAGAGTAGCACAGCACGAATTATCTGTTACACTGTTAAAAGATAATTGAACATTCTTAACGTACCTAATTACTGTCCTCACAAAATTTTTACTACACATTCAAACCAGACCATCCACCATTATATGTTGATGGGCACGCCCACAGCCCTAACGTAGTTGTGACGTCTCATTTTCATTTATTAAAGTCGATTGGCTGTGTGAAATGATAAAATCTTGATCATGGCGTCATAAACGTTGTTAAGCATCCTTTGCGGGCATGCAGTATTTTGGGCAGGAATTCCTACTCCGACTCCCTCTTGACCTATTTATGGGTAACTCTGAACACAACCTTTTTACAAATTCATTCCAGGCCCGTGGCAAATTTATCGGATATTTTTTTTTTCTAATTGCCTAATAATAAATGCAGTGGCGGACTAACTCTGTCGGGGGCCCGGGGCGGCATTAGGTTCGTACCTACAAATTTTACAACTGGCCCAGAAACTTGATTTTGTGTTTACACCGCCTCCCCTGCTAAGACGCCTGCTAAAACTACGACACTAAGAAAGATAAGGCAGTACAACCCCAATTTATGATTTGATCAAGGAAACTTTCAGCCAAAGTCCCCCCCCCCCCGCCGCCCTTTTAGTCCGCCACTGAATAAATGTCAGGAGTAAGGAGTCTCCTCGTACCGGGAGCTCCTTCCAGCTGGGCGCCTGTGGCATTTTGCCGACTTACCACCCTGTAGTTACGCCACTGCTACCTTGTTTGTATGTTAGTACGCAAATATTGGAACTCAAATTTGATCCACTTTTCAATGTCTCATCTGACTTACATGTCTACGCAAAATTTCATATTTTGCATAGACATGTAAGTCAGATGAGAATGCAATATTATGATGTCTGTGAGCTGATATGATGATGAAGTCGGAAGGTATTATAGGAATTATGATATGAGCAACTGCAACGGGTTTTGGTTTTTTAGATCCGTCTTTATGAGGGTTTTGGTAATGGATGCTTTCCAGATCAAGGTCTGGTGATGATAGAGCTGGAAGGTGGTCATAGAACTTAGCAATAAAATAAGGCAACTGCATCGTTTGGGCTCTTTTGATCCGTCTTTATGAGAACAACAGCATATTGAGTTAAAAGTAAAAACCTTTTATTTGTGAGTACTAAAACCATAAATAAATTCTAAACATTTAAAGTAGGTACTTATAATCAAAAATTTTTCTAACAGTAATTGACTTGAAAAGCTTGTAACGCGTAAAAATATGGGCATTTCCTCGTCTCCGATTTCACTATATAAGTAATTAAACTATAGCTGATTGAAAATTTGAAATGCCAAATGCATTTGTCTTTGTTAATAACTTTAGAACAGGTGGTTCTCATTCTTTACAATACCTACTGCTACTCCTATGACTTATTAGGAAGGTATCCCCATTTATATAGCCTACTGTGGCGCTAGTGTACCCAATCAACAGCACGAAACGGCACAATTGTAATGTCGGTCTGTCGCGATTGCGTCCGAGGGACTGGTCTTAGAAATTATAAGATCTTAGGCTGCTCTTTTATGTAGTACTTTAATTGTTATTGTAATGAACTTCCATAAGTTTCTATTAGAAGTAAATACTTCAAGTCAATGTTGATTGCAGCTTCGGAGCTGGCTTCACGACCCTCAAAACTGGCATTATCATGAACAACGTCATGGACGACTTCTCATCACCCGGTTTCGTTAACTACTTCGGTCTTCAGCCGTCTCCTGCCAACTTCATAGCTCCTGGGAAACGACCACTATCATCCATGAGTCCTAGCATACTGGTTGACAGGAACGGCAACGCTAAAATGGTGGTGGGTGCTTCTGGTGGCACTAAGATCACTACCGCTGTAGCATTGGTGAGTAACACCATAGAATTCTACATAATAAGTTTTATACAAATGACAAAATTTATTAAAAAATACAAAACAAAGAATTCAATAACAACAGGTAACTATTTTATAAACGGCAAAGAATATTAATTATGTAGCTACCTAACGGATAACTGATTCAAACCGAAAGCCATCCAAAGCGATAGCTTTTAAATCATTTTTGTTAAATATTGCTAAATGATTTTTAATATTTTATTATATTGTTTTAATCCGATGATTTAGGTTTATTTTCAGATTCAAAAATGTATAATAAAACATATGTATAATATAACATATAGTTACAAGTCAAACTCAATATAATGAAAAAAAAAAACTAATAATAATCTATTACATAATACAACAAAACACTTTGAAAAAAATAACTTCTTCGCATAAGGTAAATTTTAGTTTTAAAATAGTACCTATACCTATTAGGTATGTTTATTATTATGACCCCATTATAAGAGAGAGCACATTCTATTTCAGGTGATAATGCGCAAGCTGTGGTTCGACCAAACAATAAAAGAGGCTGTAGACGAGCCGCGATTCCATCACCAGATATTTCCTATGAAGATTGAATACGAATTTGGTATACTTGCGGTAATTAAACAATTCACTTCTAAATTATTTAAAAGCTTTAGTTGTTGTTAGATTAAGAATGGGGACACTACATTCTTTTTGGATTCGCAATTCATTAAAGTAAAAAGGAGACGTCATAATTCGATTTTTAGAATAGAATAGAATAAATTTATTTGCAAGAAACATGGAAACATTATAGCTGGTTTGTTACGATAAGAGACACACATATTTCACCAAAGTATGGCAAGCAAAAATGTTTTTTATTAATTTATCAATAAAAATTTAACAATAAGAATTAAACAATTTCATATCACAAGTCAATCAATCAAAACAAGAATATTACAATTTTATAACATAACGGTCAATCAATATAATGTCAGAATAAAAACATGAATTATGTCATCATTACTCGTAAATATAATTTTATTTAATGTCAAAATATCAGACTATATTAATTATTATTGAAATATTCATTAAGGTTATATGGAGACTTTATAGTCAACCATTTACGCAAAGCTGTAGCGAACCGGCTTGCAGGCAGTTTTCTAATATGCATAGGAATGTTATTGTACACCATAATGCACACGCCGTAGCAATTTCTTTGAAAAAATGCACTCCCCAACGATGATTGCTGTTGCAATCGTGTTCCATCTCTCGGACGCAGTCGAGGATTTTTCATAGCGTCACGTTTGACATTATTCGTTTTATTTAAGCTTGTCATAGTATCAATTATTTAAAAGCAAGTTACATTTAACGAGTTCTTTAGCGCAGAATTTAGCGCGTTCTGTCTGCGATGCGCAAATTCATATTTTTTTACATGGCCGGCCGGATGGGTTACACAAAATTTTGCTACCTCGACCTCCTTCATGCTTTGGAAAGCACGTTAAGCCGTTGGTCTCGGCTGCATCTGCAGTCGCTAACACCCACCGTTCCTCACTGGGCCAACGTGGTGGATTAGGGCCTATTTTCCCTTTTCGCTTTTCGATTTGATTTTATTCCATCCATGAAGTAACATAAACTATATTTATTTTGCAAAAACAAAGTCTTCATAACGCAGGGTCAGCTCGTTGTATATATACATTTAGAATCTCTACTTCACAGGATGTCATCAAAGGGTTAAGGGCGAAAGGCCACGGCGTGCAACGCTACAAGGGTCGAGGATCAATAGTCTGTGCCCTGTTCAGAAACAGGACTGGGATATACGCCAACGCAGATTTCAGAAAAGGAGGCGATGTCGCTGGCATGGACTAAAACGTAAACGCTCAAGCCTTCCTGGAATAAATAAAAAAAAAAGAATCTCAATTACTGTTCATATTTTGAAAATTTTACAGTTTGACTTAACACTTTTAAGCTGAGCGCAGACTTGAGTCATGATAGTTTTAACACAGACTATTGCTTTACAAAATGAAGATGCGTAAATTTCGAACACAACATCTCATAGACAAAATCGTCTGATATCTACAAGAACTGCACGTCTTGTATGTCGAGCACGCACGTCGACGAAAAACGTTTTGCGAAGTCTCGCCTGAGATACATCGAATCACGTTTACAGACGGTGAACTCGTAGACGAATTAATTAAAAAGGTTTATTCAAGTCAATTTTGATACTGAATTGTATTAATAAAACAGTTTTTTTTTATGGCACGGTCGCCGAGTATAAAGATTTTCGTACAATTACCCGGCATTACATATCTCTTTCACCGCAGTGCTCAAACATGTTGCCATTACACTCGCACAGATGCATCTAGCCAAATTTTTCATAGTAAAGTGAACCTGAAATGTTTACGATATCTATCAGTGAGTACCTACAAACGTGCGGAATTCGTCCTGTTGGCTATAGTTTTAGGGCAGATTTGTCTATGCGAGGAAAGTACATATATTTTAAAACTGTCGTAACTCCACTGCTCAGCCTTAGCTAAATAAAAGAGTAATCCAACCGTAAAATTTTCAAATATGGAACGAAACGCCCGTATAGGAGTCACAATTGAAATTTTAATTTCGCCATTTTAACTACTCCAAACTACTGTAACTCTAAGTCACAATATTAATAGAAGTTTTTTTCTAATGTTGTAATATATGACGACAATATTACATCTATAAGTAAAAGAAAATAGATAATGACAATGGAAGAAAGTTGAAAGAAAAGAAAGTTGATGAACAGTGGTGCGAATAAAAAAAAGAAATGTGATAAGTCCTAGATAGTGTAGTAATTAAAGTTATTAATTGTATGGCTCTAAAGTCTGACTCTTTTAAGCTAATAACATTGTAAGCTCATTTTGTGCATTGTCTTTGGAAAGAAAATCCAAAGATATTGTGACCATCATCACCCAATTTTTAGGAACAGTGGCTTTAAAGCTAACATTGAAAAGGACACATATCTCTCTAAATCGTCCTCTAATGCAACCCGTGACTTTGAATATAAGTATATACGCGTGAGATCATTATATGTGGTAAAACTGCAATTTCAATGGCGTTTTACTTTTTTTATACGTTTTGACTGTCAAGAAAGCGATGCTAGTGTCTATACAACCCTTTGATTTGATTTTTTTATGTATTTTCTATTACATAATAGAAGTAAAGAATAATAAACATATTCTATTATAATTATGCGTTTTGAGCTCTTAACTCAATATTGTTGATGGTACACACGGCCCCACGTCACGTTACACAACACCACCATAAGCAGACCTCTGTTAGTAATACGAAGCGCGGTCGGTATAAAGTCCCCAATGTTTTTTCTGACGTGCAGCTGTGTGTACAAGATGATAGTAAAATTACACCACTAGCGACATCTCTTATAAGACAAAGACATTCAGTTCCAAAAGCGCGCTTTTACCCCCATTTTTTTACTTGCCGTGGAAGTTTTCACGCCCGTCTATTATTTGTTTCCATTGTGATCCATACAACACTGACGAGCCTGCGAAAATGCGTGTGTACAACCCTTAAGACTGTTCGCAAAGTTCTTATCAAAATATAAGGTTTAATAAATACACTCACGAAATAATCAAACCGCTATAGTGTAATAAAGTAATAATGTTTTGTAGGATTAAGAAATATTCGCTAATTTTTTAATTTCATTGAAACTTGCATTTATTTGAGTCACAAATTTACTTTTTAAGTTGAGCAAGTGGTTAACAATTTTAGGCATTTACAAAAAAATAACTGAATCTTATTTTGAACCAATTGAACTGTATCATTATTATATTAATTATTTAAAGTCTGTGTGACTTCAAAATATATACTTATAAAATCCTATATATAAATAATGTATACAAAAATATCTTGATTTCACGTCGTAGCTATAAAATTTTCAACAGATGTCTAATCGTCTCATCAATCTTATCACAAACGCACAGAGTTCAATTTCGTTATGTAATGTAGTTCACTGAATGATCAATGTACGTATGTATGAATGTTAGAATGTGTATTTATCAAGATATTCGTCCTAAGCTTACAGTGTGACTGCCCGCCGCTCCAATAAGATTGTCTCAGTATTAATGTTATATGAGATATAAAATATCATATATAGCATGTCAGGTTTGAAGTGGTTATTAATAAAATTTTACATGTTATGTGAGATTTCATTTGTTCCCAAATACCCTCATCTAGATCAGCTCTTTTGTAATATTGAGTTTAAACCTATGTATAGAATTTTGTTGAATATAAATATTATTTTTACTATTATTATTTTATGTACCCACTACAGAGGTCTTCCTTATGACTCTCCACTCTGACCAAATGCAACTGGAGGGTATCAACGACTTTAAATACAGGTACCAACGACTTAACGTGCCTTCCGAAGCAAGAAGTAGCTCGAGATAATCATTTTTGGTCACCAATTATAAAATAATAATAAATAATTATAATTAATAATTGACTAATAATAATATTGATTACTGTGATGGGATCCAAATGCAAGTATTTCATTTTAAATGTAGTCCACTTGATTTTTAACTTTAAGGTTTGGCGGTAGAGTTTAAAATTAACTTGAGAAATTGGGTTTTTTCCAATTTTGACAAGAGAAAAACAAAAATTTTTATATATAATTTATTTATACAAATACAATTACCGTGATACACGGAATAAATATTATGTTATCTTTAACTATCATTGGATTGAATCCGCATTGTAATTGCATTGCACGAAATCTTAACTAGTATTAACGCTATGTTCAATACATCACAACATACATACATATAAAAAAAAAACATTACAGCCACATATTTACTAATAACTAAATTGATAAAATTAATAATTTATTTTTAATATTGTGCGCTTGACGCAATTTTAGTATTCATCTTTCGACAGTGGCAACCCTAGCGATATACTCATAGACTTATTATGGTACCCATATACAATAACAAATCTACGAACAAAAATTTTGTTGTTTTGTTTGTGAAACAATCGGAAAATATTAGAATGATTTAATAAAAATAACTACTTGAAACTACATCATGCGCGGTCCAAATAGGCTATGAATTTACGCGGACGAATTCGCAGTAAAACTTTTAATCTATAATATAAACATAGTTATAGAATTCTAAAAGCAAATTTGATAAGATATAATTAATAAAAGATTGAAATCATTGGTACATATTACTTGTTCTGTTATAATCAGAGGTCGGAATTAGGTAGAGTTGTTTATGTACTTGCATCGAAATGTTTATATTAATGTGGACCTTCCCGGGATTCTTTATTTCTTTATTTCTTCTTTCTTTATTTCTTTCTTTCATTGATGTAAGTTTGGCAACGTCGTGCGTGCAGTAGTTTAATTGTGTAAAAGTAAATAACTTTTTATTTAAAAAATCACGGGATTTTTCTGCTCTTTAAAATTAATCTCGGGATTTGAGGCATATCCACTTTATTCTTTCGCTGTATGAAATCAGTGTAAGTACATGAATAACTCTACCTAATTCCGACCACTGGTTATAATAGAGACACCGTCAAAAGACGAATACTTCGTTTGAATAATGAGCTCTGCTCCATTAATTTAAATTTAAATAAAAAAAATTACAATAAATTAAGACAATTTACTAAGTACTCTAACTTTATAGCAATAATACAGTTCGATACACTGTAAAGTCGTATTACAAACACCGGGGATATAATTATCTAATTTCAAAATCCATAGCAATCACTTGCAAATGTGTAGCGATTCAAAGTATTATATCCTTCTTGAATAAATTCCAAATGTCAAAAATGATTGCGATAAATGTTAAAATTATACAATTAGCTCAAAATTTAATGATGAAAAGAAACTTATGGCGAATATATATATATATTTCACACTACGTAAAATAAAAATTTACAGGCATGATCCTCAATTACCAAACCCAATAAAAAGGTTTTATGTACAGTTGTTAACATGATTCCTGTCGTCTTAATTTCTCATAATTATGCTTTAAAACAGTTCAAAATGGTATGAAATATCGTTTTCTGGAGAAATAGTCTTCTGCAGCTTCTACCACTAACGTAAATGAAGAAAAGCCTCAGAACTGTGTTTTATAAGGGTTTGTTATCGACGCTTCATAAGCGCGAGACGTATACACACATTAAATAATAGCGCCATCTTGTGACGAAAAGCAAGTTACTATCTCAGTATTGCCATTCTGGTGTGACGTAAGCATTTCAAGGCAGATGTCGCTGACTCCACACAATTCCATTTTTCCTTTAACTTGTGGCTTATCGAGCTTGTAATAGACCATATTTTCCTTTAATTCCAAGGACATTGTTAAACTATAGCCCTAGAACGTCTCTCATAGCTTCGACCGGTGTGACCAGTTTAGTTGACCCTATGAGTACAGTGTTGTCAACTCCGCTAGTTATTACACTGCGGTGCAATCGCTTACATTCCTCAGCAGTTATACCGCCAATGACGAATAAAATCACCGTAGGATTATCTAATGGGTGTTTGGTACTCCGTGACTTCTTACTTGTTAGAATACTGAAAATAATTTGAAAATCCTGTGTTATATATAACCGAGTTTTTACCCGACTTTTAGTTTTATTTTAGTTTTTGAACTTTTTGTTTTTAATTATGTATTGAATAGTTTGATTCAATAAGATGTACACCTAGTGATATGGTTAACTTTAAAACATTTCCTGATCAGTTTTTTTCTCATATAAAAAAAATTGAGATGCGCCGAATACTCTTTTGGTATTTATCTATTTCACTACTTGCAATTCAGTTCAATACAAACTCAGTTTTAGTGACGGATATAATTGGTTCTCGAATCGAATATTTTGTTGGCTACATGGCACAGTATAGAACTAAAAGAAGAAATTTGTCATGTAAGATTTAAATTACATCTTTTATAAGTCTTAAAATATAAAACTAATAAAACAAAGCAATCAAACTAAATAAATCAACATTTCTTTTTAGACCTATACCAACATTTATTTTTAAACTGGTTTACGTGGTAAAAGAATGTAATCGTAAACCTAATAATTCGGCCGAATATACAGTTCCATAAAGTGTAAACCGAATATTATTTGATATTAATAGTATTTCATTCTGTGAAACTACTATTCAGCGCATCTCTGTTAAAAATAAACAAAGTGGGTAGTACGAACTCTGATCACCGATCAATCTGTTAAGTCCGAATGTGAGGAGAGCTTGTATGTAAAGTATTTATGTACTCACTTGAGTCCACTGCGGAGAAGGTCTTTGATGCCCTCATTTCTATGCTTGAGATCTGACATTTCTGGTCGCTCCGTGTCAACCAAGTCATCGGCTAGTTGCTGCAGAACACCTCTGTATTCATGACCCACACCGGTCTCACATGGTTTCAACACTGATTGATATCTGAAATATTATTCATATTCCATGCAATGATATTTGGTATTTCTATCTGTTATTATGTTTTATGCGGAAAAGAAATATTTAATGTTAATATATTAAAATCTATTTTTGATTGGCAAAAAAAATATCAGCATCATCAAAAGACTGTTAATGTCTCCTCCGCTGGGGTCCAAATAATGGGCCCACCAGACAGGCCCAGCGGAAAAAGCTGGATATTATGATTGCAGATTCAGCAGAAACCAACGGATTAACGTGCCTTCCGAAACACATAGGAGCTCGAGATAATAAATTTTTAGTCACCCATCCTATGACTGGTGCTTGCGAACGCTGCTTAACAGGCATATCACACTCTGAAGTGCTAACCATAGCACTATTAAGCACCTCCAAAAAATAATTAAACTTATATCATTAGTGGTGTCATCTAAAGAATTTATTTTATAATCTATCTATACATAGTATAAAAGAAACGCTCATATTAAACTACGCTACACCACATAACGGAATATAATGTGGTTTACGTCAATATACAGAATGATTCGAGGGGAATTGGGATAGCCTTAGGGAAAACGAATATTATGCCGATATTTCGTTTCATTTTACTATTTTGTCATATCTTTTGGTGGACAAATTTGAGATAAATCAATAAGTTGGAAACACTGCAATCAGATCCATATTCATCATTCAGTCTTCGTTCAGGCTAGATCTACATTTTTCTCTAACCAGAGTAGAAACTTCATATTGCGCCCTTCTTCAGGGGGAGTGCCCGTATGAGACCGGATTTTATGTTTTCACATCTTGCTGCGTATATTTTATTCTTTTATGAACTTTGAAAACTTATCCATCCCATCGTAGCCTACAATGTAATTGAACAATATGAATTTTACAATTTTTGAAGCTTCTCTTTTTACCCTTTTTCTGATTTTGGCACCCGCGCCCCCCTAGCACTGGCACCCAAGGCAAGTCGAGACAATCACCCCCCTAGATCCAGCCCTGCTTCGTTATTAAACTACATGTCAAAGTAATCAAATTAAACGAAATAGCATTATAACATCACTAAGATCTCGTATCCTACGGCTAGTTATAGCAAGAGGAGTTAGACGGTCGCTCGCGGAAAGATTAATAATTATGAAGAATAGTTACTTGTGTAATATTTTTCTCATTTGGGCAACATCCTTTAACTTTGTCATAATATTTTGTGCGATTTCATCACACTGTTCTGGCGTTACTATGTGACTAATGTCATCATTCGAGAACAGCGACTTGTGGTCTTCAAATATGGCCACACTTAAGGTCTCAGTGAGACTATCCTCGTGTTGTTTAGAGAATGACACCTCTGTTCCAATCAGCGAGTATATGTTAGTGATCAAAGCCAGTAAACTTTCGACAGGAAGATTGCGTTCTTTTCTCGTTTTTATTAAATTGCTGATCTGGAAAAGTATAGTAATAACCTTTAGTTTGCCTGGTCATCACCAGTCAATTGATATCCCACTGCTGGGACTCAGGCCTTTCCTATGGACGGAATCGAATAGGAAGGTCACCTACCACGCAGGTGGGGTGAGGCTTAGTGGACGTTAACAACTGGGACCTGATGAAGCTAATGACCCTCCCGAACTACGGAGGAGCTCGGTATAATAAGTTTTGGTCACCTATACAAACGTATAGCAGACCCAGACTTAGCATTACTGCACCACCGAGTTAAGTCTGCTTGGTATTATGTAGGAATTCTAAAATTACAAAATTTTACTGATATCCTATTCATATAAATTAAAAAAAAAACCTTAAGAGATTTATTACAATGTTGTATGAATTAAATATGTACACTTTTTGTAAATTAGATAATATAATTAAAAAAATAAATATAAAAGTTTTGAATTTGTAAAACGATAATGCATTTTACAACTAAAGTCACTGAAAAAATTTGGTAGGATACTGTACCAGATGCAGCACGCTAGTTGAGTCTCGGCTGGCAGCTAGATTTTGCAGTACTTGTTTCTCTAAACTCATAAGTAACTCGATTTGTGCACGTTTGGGCGACTTCAATGTCTGTACAACAGCAAGTGCTTGCTGCAACACGCCTAAATTCTTTTCTATAATGTCATAATTCCCTGTAAAAAGGGAGAATTTGATATTAATTATTGTTTCTCGCATTAACACCTGTAGCTATCATCTCTAAAAATCATAAGGTACCGGGGCAAAATATATTCACCTACGGGAAGCTACATCATATGCGGGTGGACATAGGCTATATTTTATCACGAAAAACAACAAATAAAGGGATGAAAATGGAAGCGGAAGTTTGTAACCATTGTTTAGTATTTAATTTGGTAGTGTAGTTATATGCGCATAACAAGTTGATCCGTTGAAAGTAATCAACGCCCATAACAAAACAATGTATATAACATAGACAGTTGTTAGTACCTTTTGATGCCGCCACAATTTTTTCCATGCTTTGTGGCGTGACTTTCAGTAAATTTTTTGGACTAGGCGACTTTTGCACGTCCAATTTGGATAATTTGTTATACAAATCGAACATGACTTCCTTTTGCGACTTATTAATCATGTGGTCGTAGGTCTGAGTGCAAGACTCGTCTTTTGCGTGAAATAAACAACCAGGACTCAATTGGATATCTTCTGGGTGGTTTATTCTAAAAAAAAATAACTTGTTTTTCTGGCTCTAATGAAAACGCTCACAACGCGTTGTGGTGGAGTAGCAAGTCAGCCATGACACAAATTTCGCTATGTGGTCTCTCTGTGATTGCCACAACGCGTTGTAAATGTTTTCATTAGAGCTATAACACGAACTTCTCATTGTGACTGTTTTAGGTCCCAAACACGGTCTATTTTCTACACCATAGATGCTGATAGATCCGAATGTGCGTAAAACGCAGTTTAAACGCACATAAAGCTCATTTGATGTGCGTACAAAGGGCCAGAAGAGGGGCGCCGCAATTGCATTCATATTTTAATGTGTGCAGTGTGTTATGTATCGCTGTATCTGTCCGTATACGCTCAGTAGAAATACGTTTTACGATCACCTCGTGTGCTTATGTCACAAGGTTGAGTTCAAATCTCGTTTGAAGAGCGTATACGCGCGTGATCTGCGGGGCCTCTGCGCATTTAAAATACGCCATGTTATTCAGCCCTTAGTGTATCCATAACGGGTTATGAGCTAGTTTTTTGACTCAATGAGCTGTTTCGGTGTTTAAGAGTAACATATTTTTTAGTAACAAACTTACACATTGGCCTCACATAGTGGTGACATATCCACTGCAACCTCATTAGAGTGTCCCGGAAATCTCGGCAAAACTGTCATGATTTTATCAAGAACCGATTCCATAGAGAAGCTAGTTACCCCACAAAGATCAAGCGTGCGATCAACAATGATCAAAGATGTGGGATTTATAGAATTCTGTAAACAAACATTTGTATGATGAATCATCAGTATTTACACCGGGGATGTCAAATTAGAATTTCTAAAGGGCCATTTATTAATTTAAAATGTTTAGGCGAGCCGTTCCATAGTGAAAATGAGCAAAGAAATCACGTTTGTTGTATGGGAGCCGCCTTAAATATTTATTTTATTCAGGTTTTTTAGTACATATTTGTTGTTTAAGCGGTTAAAGAATTACATCATATGTGATTATTCCAACTATCTTTCAAGGTTCATGTGACAGAGGACAGACCGACAGACAGCCAACTCTTAGTAATAGGGTTCCTGTTTTACTCCTTGGGTATGGAACCCTAAAAAGTATAGCATTATTATTAGAAAAGCATATATAATTAACATTTTCTTAATCATCTAGGCTCGCGCTAATCTTGAAATAAATTATGAATAATTTGATTGTGGTTTAATACCACAAAAAAAAAAGGATTTTATATGATAACCTGAACAGTTAGTCTGACATTAGGTATTAAAAATATTTTCTCTAAATAAACTTACTTTTCTTCTTGATATACAAACAGGTGAGTTTTCTAGAACACCAGCTACTAGTGAACTATACGGTCCTACATAAAATATATCCTCCTTTAGGTTCATAGAGTCCATTATACTGTTGAGGCTACTAGCCAATCTCCGTACTTGAGACCTTTCTTCTCTCTTCAGTGTATAAAGATCAATCGATGTTGAATCAGGAATAAGTTTTCCATCATACTTAGGGTAAACATTATGATATGGTGGTGTCAAAAACACAACATTTGTCGGTGATATTGTGCAGATCGGTATATGGACAACTTCTACAGCATATTGCTAGAAATTTAAATAAAAATATATTAGTAGAATAGGTTCAATTTTTTGTATAAATTAACAATTAAGTATTTAAAATTATAAACTAATCAATTGGATATATGTAAGTTTTCTTTATGGAAAACTATCATACATACACTTGTATATTATTGATCATGGTTCTTTTTATTTATTTTTTTATTTAGGAAGTTATAAAACATGCCACTCCCATTAGCTGCTAAAATCAGATTTATACTTTTTATAGAGAACAATCACTGACAACCAACCATCACCATACTATGTTATAGGAGGTGATTCTCAGATAGTAAGTTTTAGCCTGTTCGAGCTTGAGAAGGCATTATAACTTTAGAATAGACCAATTAAAGTATTTTTTCGAAAGAAGAATACATATAGTTAATAGAATAGTAAGTTCATATTAAATATCACATACATATGGTCAGATTCCAAGATGAAAAGCTAAAGCCCCGATCTGAGACAACGAAGGTAACAAAATACCCAGACCCGAAACAATATAGAAAAGTTCATTATCCACATTGACCCGACTGGGCATCGAACCCGGGACCTCAAAGATGTTGACACATTGAAACCAGACACACTCCATCAGAGTAGACGTGCGTAAGTGCCCGAACTGACGAACTGAGGTTTTAATGTTTTTATATGTATCTATTACTTAGACGTTTTTTGTGCACATTTCCATTATTAAATATACATATTAATAAAAGGTCGGTAACATTTATCAGTGAGGTTTCGTTTTAATAAATGAAAACCAGTGATTTTTTATTCATTTACCGCTAATTTCGTCAGATTTCATCTTGACAAGTCGCGCCAAAGAAAATTAAATTTGATACAAAGAAATTAGAATAATTACTTATACCAGCAAATAGACAACACAAAATAGATATGTATGAAGTGGTAAAGTTATTATTTAACATCTAGAACAACTAGCCTAATTTATTATACTATGTGTAACAGAAATAATTCACAATGCACATCCTTATACATCCCAATTAGAAAATGCATTTATAATAATATAAATAAAATTGGAATTTTACTTTAATGTACTAAAACATTGTTTATGTATGGACACAGTTGTACTAATGGCTGGGTAACAGTGTGGACATCTTACAAATTCACACAATGTCATCAAAATTGGCTTGGCCTGGCGACTTGGCCTGCAACTACTAATGTATGGACCTACAGTGAAATACCACAACAATACCACCTACCTACCAATAAAAAATCTCAACTAAATATATTTCTGTATCCAGATTCAAAACGTTTTTTTTTTAAGATTAAACATTAATTATGATTCTTATTTGTTATGAGTATCAGCTAGCATAGTCTTGCAATCACATATCACATGGTGAGCACAGTATCACCACAATGTGTCTAACCCTTAAATATTTCGATGTGAAATTTATTCTTTTTTTTTAATTTTCTTTTTAATATGGACTTGTTTGATAAACTTAAATTGCAATAAAATAATCATCCACTGCCACTCTCATGTTTGTCGCATATGTCGTGTTAATTTGTGGTATATTATTTTTCTCTTTGTTTTTGAATTATTTTACTCTTTGCTTAATCAACTAGTGCATCATAGCATTTAAGAGTATTTTAAGCTCAAGAAACATTAAAGAAAGCTCATTATTCTTTATTTTGTTTATTTATTTATAAATAGCAAATTATTTAGCAAATTATTTAGCAAAAAAAATACCTAAACTATAAGTTGTTGAAATCAAATCAGTATTTGATTTTAAACAAAACTACTTTGAGCATGTGCGTTAATTATGTTACATGTTGTTTATATGTATAATTTGCTCTTTGGATATTTCATTTTGATTAAACATTTTTATACCTGTGTATTTAACATCATCTACCTACATATTTTTATGCATATATACTTACTTCTTAAAATATCTAGATAATAGAAACATTTAACCTTTTACTGTAACATTTTTATGGTGCCTCACACTTGTTTTTCATTTATATAAGTTGTAATATAGCAAAGACACACTTATAAGCTTTAATATAATTCACAGTATATCAATATACAGTTCTTTTTTGAGTAAATTCCAGTCATATGTACTTAAACGAAATAAGCATTACAGTTGTTAGTATATATTATCTATAGTAGATTCAGTAATAATAAAAAAGCAACCCTTTCTGAATTTTTTGCCCTCCTTCTCTATACAATTTCTCCCACTGTGGATTTACAAATAGATGGCATACAGTTTATACTATCACAAGAGCATGTATACAGCCTAGACTGAACAAAAGATTTAGATTTGATTTGAATCAGTGTTTAATCACTGTAAAGATAATTATTAATTTTTTATTAATGTAATATGAAAATATAAACTTACTTTTTTACCAATCCATTCACATAGCATGCCTTCTAACTGTTTAGTGCATTCTGTTTGACCTTTACCTGCTGCTATGATATCACTCACATCCTTCCCTTCATTTAACTCTAGGAAGACTACATCCAAACCAACACAGGATATAAGAATGCAATGTGTGAAATCACTATTCTTTATTATCTCACATATTGTTTTAAGTTGAGTTGATGTGGATTGTGTAATGAATACAGCCTTTTTATGGTCTTTGCCTGAAAACTGAAGAACAATTGACTATCAAAATTACTTAAATAAAAGATAAAAACAAAACATATTTAACTTTCTTATAAGTATGAGATTATTTAAAATTAAATGGTAATGTCAGATGAGTTTTTGATGATAAACATTTTGTAAGCATGGAAAACACTTCAGTAGACTTATTTCATGAGTTATATAATATTGTTGTGGTCAAAGTAACATAGGATATAATCATCGAAATTCTTAACAATATATCACAAAAACCAACCCAAAAATACTAGAAAGAAACAGTACTTAACTAAATCTATTTATGCTTTTATGACCCCACAGCTGAATGACTATTTTACACATATCTGAATTCAGGTGGACAGTCACGGGCATACATAGGAACTCACCTCAAACGGAGACAAGCTTTTAACAGCTACTGCTCCTCCAAAAAGCAAGTTCAAGAGACCACCGTCCCAATGAAGACATTCAGAACTAGCATCGTCCAAATAAACGGCAGCACCAATTATTCTGTTATATACCTCTGACCACCAGGCTCTACCAAAGTCCTTAACACAAGTTGTCATTTTTACATAAATTCAGTGTATATTCTTAAACATGATATCTTTATTAAAATACCTATATTGGTATAATATTGGAATCTCTGTTAAAAACTCTCGCCAAACTCAATCTCTAGACTGTCAAAAAGCAAAAGCAAAGAGTAAAGTGTTGCAACCAAACTAAACTAGATGTCACTAGCGATTTTCGGATATTTATTAAAATTTTCTTTCTGACTTAATAAAAGTAAATTGAATATCTAAAATTAATAAATTTGACATCTTTTCGTGTTTCTTATAATATCTAACTTTCGAATTAATTTTAATTTATTTGAATCGTTAGTTTAAGTCATTTATTATGTTACGTGTAAAGTAACGATGTTTGGTTTATTTATATATTTATTGATTGCTCGTAACTTCAATTGACTTGGTTTAGAATGAAGCACAAAAAGCGGAGCGCAGAATTCTGTTTGTTTTATTATGTACAGTATTTCCATATATACCTATATATTATGGCCTAATTTTTTACCTACTATATATACCTCCCCTTTTTTAAACGCAGGGGAAATGCAACCCTAAGCCTTAAACCAGGGTTCTCTGACACCGCACCCGTCCAGAAAGGATAGGTTTGAGCGAGGAGGCCGGCCGACCTACTAAAGAAGCCCGCTGACTCCAGCCCCACAAAAAAAAAAGTCTCCCTCCTCTTCACCAAATCTTGGATTCGTACCTAAACGAGTGACTCGTAAGTGTCCGATTTTTGTTTTCAAATAAAGGAATTACATAATTAAGAAATAATGCCAAGAAACCAAGAAAATTAAATATTTTTAGCTCCACGTATACACCATCATAAAAAAACGTATATAGTGTTAAATTATTTTTAGTTCACACCACACCACATACATGACAATGGTATATATAACAATGCCAGTTGGCTGCAACATATCTACCACAGCAGTCCAATTGCGTGGCTAGGCATTTAATTGAAAAGCGCCATTCAATTACACGCCTAGTTTACTATTTGGTCAATATGACATTTGGACCGTTCAACAAAACAACTGATTTAAAAGCCACCAAAACGTATATATAGTTTTTTGTCAATTCACCAGATTTTTTATAAACTAAATTATTTATTTCAGTGGTGATATTATCTTATTTAAAAATTTTAACAAGATGTTAATAACTTTGCCCAACTCTTTAGCCTATTGCTATTCGATCCCATTTTTTGCTTTAAAATAAGAACATTAACATGAATACTTTAATATTTATACAGCCTTAGCCTTGGAAAAAATTATTACAATGTAATGTCCACATTATGTGTTTGTTTTAAGTCAGTGATCCCAATTCAATATACCTCCCTATTCCAATCACTGTGATCATAGAGAATGTAAATCATAGAACAATAATATCACTATACACTGTGAAGTAATAGAACTAGCAACTAGAACACAGAACTATTTCTTTAGAAAATTTTATTTTGCATTCTCTGTGGTTATTAACTATAGACTGGTTTAGAAACTGATTATGTAGTCATCAACATCATATTTCTATACATTATAGCTGAACGCCAGTCAGGCTCAAGAAAGCAGAAACACCTTATGGATAATCATTTGTGAAGTTTACATTTTCAAATCAGTTTTAATTCAGAAAGATACTCATTCAACAAACAGGATTTAAATAATACAACAATACATAAGCTTTTACATTGTTTATTGACATATTATAATTAATTCCGATAAACTAAAACAGCTTCAGTAAGTATCACTAAAAATGACTGTTGACAACAACAATGGTTTAATGATCTTCATAACCGCTGGGCAGAGCATTAACATGGGGGTTATGGAAGAGGGATTTCTGGCCATCACCCCATGGGAAACGCTGTAATAAATTACAATAATTATTAGTAAATTATTTATCTTTATAAATCATAAACTAGCTTTCCTCCAGTGGCTTCCTCTTTAATCACTCTGTATATTGATGAAAATCACATTAAAATTTAGTAGTTTAAAAAGTCGTAGTTTAATAGTTCTCACGGATAATTGAACAAATGATCATTTAAATTGTCATTCGTTTAAAGTGGCGCTATCGATACAAACATGACATTCATTAGACCTGAATGGACTTTTGTGAAACTGTAGGTCAGTGTGCAGACAGCGGGAAGCAATTTTGTTTTATACTATATATAGATTATGAATTAATTAATTATAGACATTCTAACATCAATCCTTATTAATTTTTATTAGTATGTTTTAAAATGAATAACCATCATGGTGATTCTAAACATAAGTAAAATAAAGAATACTTTAAAATCTCTAGTTTCCTGTACCTGAAATAGGATTCTAACCCATAACTAAGAATTTCTCAATCACCTGTTACAGTGCTATTGATATTTTCATAAGCATTTGTGCAATTCATATTTATATTTTTCTTTATTTTTCATTTTTTAAGCATTTTAAGTAATCAAAATAATCAACATAGAATTGTCAATGCAAAATTGGAAATATAATAATAAAAATAGAATTACATTATTGTGACTTACCTTTGTGCGAACTCGCAGATATTCATAAGGTACAAACTCAGGACGTTCATGGTGCTCTTCAGCATGAGCCAGATAGGCATTTAACATACCAAGACCAACAGCAGGCATGGCCACAAACAAAGAGAGATTTTTCCACAACTTCCAGTCTGCAAACATAATTAGAAATAATTTCTTTATGTATAATTGAGAATAATAAATGTAATTTAAACATTTGTTGTATTTATACCATGCATTCAAATATCAAATCTTGATACTACATATATCATGAGTATATTTCTATAATTTGGAAAAGCTGTGGTTCACAAATGTATTACACATAATAGTTGTATACTATTATATGTTATAATCGTTATATACTGTTATATGTATACTATTATAAGAAGTTTAAATTAAGTCCTAGTTTATAAAATGTTTGAAAAGAAAATCTGATAGAGATAAGAATTACAAATAGGTTAAGAGATTACATAATTTTCGGATAATAAGAAATTTACCTCCATGACTCCCAGCACTGGCAGCGTGTGATGATGAACGTGCGCTACTCCTAAGGTAGTTAATAGCAGCTCTTTGTAGAATCGTAGTCATTTTGATCAGCAATAGGAATAACAAAGCAAAAATCACTCGTCAAATTTTTGTCAATTTATGAAGTGTCAGACAGAATTGTCAAAGCCATGAAGTTTATGTCAAATTCAATCGGTGTTGCTAACTTTTTAAAAAGATTCCCGAATTTCATATTTCAGTTTTTACAGTGGCAGATTAACCATAACGCCACAGTAGGCCCGGGCTTAGCGCGATCAAATATCCAATCAGATGTTTCAATAAACGTTATGAATAAAGTATAATCATAAGCAAAAGAGCTAAAAAGACGGCAGATTGTACTACATGCCTAGGATGGTTTAACCTGTAAATTCTGCTTGTTTATTATTAACTATTAAAGCCAAATAGGTATGTTACTGACCTGGTAGTCAGAGCTGACCTTCCGTAAAAATCATAAAAATGTTATCACGACGACTACTGACCTGACATTTTTGTAGTTTTTTTTTTTTACTGTCGCATAATGTTTTATTTGTAAGAAACTGATAATATCTATCGCGACACAACAAAACAAAATATATCTCTTCTTCTTCTTATAGTGCCCCTCTGACTAGCGAAAGTTGACTGTCAATTTAGGCTGCGCTCGTAATCCCCAGACGCTCCATGAGAAACCATGATTTTTTCCTCCGACCTCGTCTTTTCACCACAAATTTGCCGCTGTTGTAACAGTTAATACCACTCATGTCGCATTACATATCTACTTTTCGTTGTTTGATGGTCTGCATAAATTCACGAGTCCGTCGTACTCTCTGAAGGACTTCATCATTTGTAACCTTTTGAGTCCAGCTGATAGTAAAAGCATCCGCCTATACGACCACATTTCGTACACCTTTATACGTTTTTTAAGGTCTTCCTTATCGTCAAAGCTCGTATTCGTATTGAAAAATGGGCCAGCTGTAACAGTAAAGTATTTTTAGTACGCAAAGAAAGCTTGCGATTGCAAAGAACGCGCCTCATTTTATCAAAACATATCTCTTATCATACTAATACAAGAAACTGATATGTTTCTGTGACGGTCACGATACAACAAGACACTTATATGAAATATATTTTCTACATGATCACTTAAACAGTGTGGTCAGTTTTAAGCACCAGCAATGACAACAGTGCCTAACCTTTTAACTGACATTAACAAATAAGCGATTCCATAAGTCTAAATTAAATAAAAACTTTTCTTCGCTGAAAATAGGGTCTAAACTTTCGATTTTGGTGCAAAACTTCTAAGTTAGCAACACTAAAATAATCTTTTTTTTATGTCGACAAATGGATTTAGTTTATACAGCCAATTAGGAATAAATCTCATTTTAAATAAACATAAAAGAAAATTAAGTTTAACCTTTTATTGCAAGTGTTTAGCAAAGTATCGTGGAATTTTCGGATCCAATATCTTAAAAAATCATAGAAAGAAGGTTCGCCTCCCTATAAACAGTCAATTTTCTCTTGATTTTAATACCTTAATGCATTAAGAGCCGAGTTCAAATTAAATTGTAGAAATTTGACATATACTAGTATGAAATTTGACGTAGAGTAGCCTGACATGGCATGTAGTCTTATACATACGTTTAATTAGCCATTAAAAATATATTGTTCATTTGTAAAATATACTTACTTTTGAAAACAAAAAATAATATTGGGTTGGGGGAAGTCTTTCGGGCTATACTATTTTAAGAAAATGTGTGATTTTCATTTGCTTTTCTTGTGAATCTAATGATGAATTTCGATACATTTTGAAATATTAATTTAAAACTCTTATTTAATCTAGCAACTTAAAAAATGAGTAATAACATTGTGATTAAGGTAAAATAATCTATTTTTCCTTTTACTTCCCATAATGAAACACATTGCAATATTTTTACAAATATTTATATTTTTATTTACAGAGCATTCCACTCAAAAATCTTAATTCAGATATTAATTAATATTATTCCTACTATGCAATCTATTATGTCTTTTATTGAGTTTACAAAAATTCTGATGTTTTATGAACAGTAAATAACTTTTGAAAATACGGCCATAGCGAACTTTTTTAAATATTTTAATTTTATAGATATACATGAAATATATCTAAAAAATATAATTCATATAAAAAGTTAAATTCAAAAACAAAATTTCCCGCGAAAACGCCATTTCTGTCATGGCGTCGCTAATACGTCATGGCCCTCTGAAACTAATATCGTTCTACAGTACATATGCATAAGGTTGATATATCTAAGTGCTGATTTGAGTAAGAAAGGCGTGACGTCACGCGCTGTCACGTGACAACGAGCATAAAATATTTATTTTTCATAATTAACTTATGCAATATTTTATGTATAATAAATAAGCATAAAAGTGTAATTGCCTGTTAGATACTACCAGAAAATGTACCTATTTATTTTCGATTGCTGTCTACACCCGATTGTAGAAGTCTATTTTAATTACCATCATAATATAAAATAATAGATATTTTTATATAATATGACTCTACATTGACAAATTACAATGTTAAAACGTGTAACATACAGTTTGAATTCTTCGCACTTCGCAGACTTCGCACGGTGGACAGCTTTAATCATTAAACTATCGATTGAAAATCATGAATAAAATATTTAAAAAAAACCGACTTGTAAAAAATCCATAAAAATGCAAAAATATTTATATTATATGTATTGTCTAGGTAGGTGCTATTGAACGTCCGACCGCAAAATATGTTGGTGGGATACACAGATATGGTGGTATATATTGTATTTAGTTTTATTGACGTATCGGACTCTTTATAGGTTCTGTCTTATGTGAACCCGGAACCTGTAAGGGGGCCAAATTATCAATAAAACTAAATAAATACAAACGCGTTGAAAAATTGTTTCATTTACGAATAGTGTGCATGAAAATATAAGAAATCAACGTAATATACTAAGCTAATAACATACAGAATACGTATTTACATAAACAGAGGAATGTTTGAATCAGATCATATTTATTTAGACTAAACAAATCAATATAACTAACTAATCGTATTGATGGCACAAAAGCTATGTTAGCATAAAAATGTAAGCATCGTCAGTAAAAACTAACCTTTATTTATAACGGAATAAGTTTGCTTCAATTCTGTTAATTTTTAGGTAATCAAAACTGAGATTTTTTAAATATATTTCAGAGTGTATTCCATAATTGTCACTATTGATAATCTATAAGCTGAATTTAATTTAAATTGAGACAGCTTGGTCGAACGTCTTGAAAAGCTCCTCATTTGTTTCTGATGAATTTCCACTAGTTTTCTTGGGACATCCGGGAAAATATTCTTCTATAAGGGACCGAGGCCGAACCTGAAATATAGTAGAAAAAACATCTATAAGTTTATTAATCGTTTTAGGATTCCGTACCGAGAGGATAAAAAGGGGACCTTATTCTAAACATTCTCAACACTCGTATCTATAGTCGAAAGAAATAATTACTTGAGAAAGTGACATAACTTAAGGAGATGTTTTTAACCAATACAATGTGAAATACTTAAATTTAAATTACTTCCACTCAAGTAATTACTTGTACTCGACTATAGATGCGGTTATAAGCTTTCGTTGTCCGTAAATCTCTTCAACTGTGACAGCAAAACAGAACAGTTGACATTCTATTGAGATGCTATAAGAGTTGGCATGCCAATTAATAATAGCATCTCAATAGACTGTCAATTCGGTGGCGTAGTGGATAAGCGCCGCAGCCCGCGATCGTTGTCGTTAAGCAACTTTCGCTAGGGTCGGTCACGGGATGGGTGACCAAAAAATTCTCGGTGCTTCGGAAGGCACGTTAAGCCGTTGGACCCGGCTACATTTGCAGTCGTTAATACCCTCCAATCCGCATTGGGCCAGCGTAGAGGGTCATGGCCCATCCTCCTTAACCATCCATAAGAAAGGCCTGAGCCCCTGCAGTGGGGCCGTAAAAGTACTGGTGATGTGATGAGACTGTCAACTACTTGCATTGGCCATTGTACTATTAATCTCAAGTCCAATATTATATATTCTCAAGTCCAGATTTTAAAATTGACCAAATCATGAAGCAGCTGGAAATTTTTGCTGCCCACATCATGATATGGCTGGCCAGATCAATGAATAATTTGAGCTTAACGATATGGGCGGCTGATCGTATGACTGTTTCATGATGTGGCCAAGCATTAGTGGTCATATCGTAAAATAGTTACATTAATCTCAATAAGAGGCGCTGATGCCGCATCAAGCAACGGAAAATAATAATAATATACTTTATTGCACACACAAGACAAGTAACAAATTACACATCTTGAGAAAAAAAAGCATACAAAAAGGCGGCCTTATTGCTACATAGCATTATCTTTCAGGCAACCTATAGAGGAAAACAGATAAATAATATGGGGTAATATGTGCAACATGTTTTTACATGAAGAAGATTAGTTTAATTTCAAATATATATATTTTTTTCCTTTATCCCTTGACATATTTATGACCCGTCATATACGCATATGTCTTACGCCACATATCGAATATCATAACTGTAGACATTGCTTAATTTCGTTAGGGACCTAGTCAATGGTGAAATGTATTTTTAGACTAGGCGATTCCTAAATATTTATGCGATAAATTTGGGCGACTCCTAAGTTTAATAAAAACGGGCACGAGGGTCAAACTGAAAGTTCTTAGAAAATCAAAAACTGATTACATTAGCCAGTTATTAGTTTTATTATATCTTTTCAAAATATTGTCCATTCACGTCAATACACCGCTGCATGCGATGGAACCACTGGGAAAAGCACTTTGCCCACTCGTCCTTAGGGGTCTCTTCAATGGCATCGCGATACGCAGCCACCGCTTCTTCAGCATTCATAAACCGCTTTCCATTAAGTTTTTCTTTAATTTTTGGAAATAAATAAAAATCACAAGGCGCGAGGTCGGGGCTATACGGCGGGTGACCCAGTAATTCAACGTTTGATGTCGCCAAATAGTCGATCGTTCGCTTGGCGGTGTGCGACGAGGCGTTGTCGTGATGAAGGAGGATCCTACTGCGAGGTCGTTTCTCTCGAACTTTTTCCAAGACAAGTGGCAAACAATTGGTAGTGTACCATTCTGCAGAAACTGTTTTTTGATCCTCTAACACAATTGTTGCAAAATGACCTATCCTTCCAAAGAACGAGGCCACCATTTTTTTTCCCGCACTTCGATCTCTCTTCACTTTAGTTGGCAACTCCTCGAAAGGAAACACCCACTGAGCAGATTGTCTTTTGGTTTTAGGATCATAACAGTAAATCCAGCTTTCGTCACCTGTTAGTATGTCGAACACAGCATTTGAGTCACCTCCGTTAAATCTTTCAATCATTTTACGACACCAATCCACACGATGGAGTTTTTGAGCCTCAGTCAAATTATGAGGTATCCACCGGGCGCAAAGCTTCCTGACCGCTAAATGTTCGTGGAGGATTTTGTGCACTTGACTCATACCGATGCCTAAGCTTGTCCGAATCTGTTGATAGGTCACTCTTTTGTCAGTCTCTATCATACGCCGCACAACACAGATGTTATCTTCAGTCGTCGCCGTAGAAGGCCGTCCCTCACGTAAATCATCAGTGAGATTAGTGCGACCACGTTTAAACTCATTAAACCAGTTGTAAACAGTCGCACGAGATGGGGCTTCATCGTGAAAGGCCAATCGTAGTCTATCATAACTTTCTTGTTGACTTAAATGACATCGAAAGTCATAAAAAATCATTGCACGAAAATTTTCTCGTGTTAAATTCATGATGACGTGACACAGACAATTTTCAATTTGCCGCCAAATCGTAAAACAAATGACAAATGAATGAAATATATACTCAGTAATATTGGCAAAGAGTTATATTTTCAAATTTTAGAATTATTTTTTTATTATATTGTTTATAAGTGGCCAGTTCTAAGAACTTTCGTATGATACATTCTGAACTACTGTAAGATACTGTACAGCTTTGACTTCGATTCACATATTATTAGTAAAAAGACTATTTATTACGATCCATTTAAGACTGATTAACGAATATTACAAAAAGTATATATTTATATATTGATTATAAAAGCTATATTTGATAACGCTACAAACGCAAAGCCACACTAAATAGCTTTTAGCCTTATCCTCACCTTCAAAGCTTTAATTGTTTCGAAATTAAAACCCATAAAGAAAGCAGATTGTTGTAGTTGTCTCAAGTTCCTCATACGAACTCTCGGGTCCCTTTCCAACAGCCGCATGAGAAGGGCCCTCGCGGAATTGTGCAGCTGCGATGCACTATCTGGTAAAGACCCTGGCGCTGGATGTGACCTAACTTGTCTGCAGTCTTGGTTTCTATATAAGAAAAGGCTATATTATAATAAAGTCTGAGGTTATAGAAGTAGCACCACAATAACCCGGCATCGAATCAGCAGCCAACATTATTTATATTTATTTAATCTTCTTTGCATGAAACATAACACAAACGGTGGACTTAATGCCAAAGGCGTTGTCTATCAGTCTACCCGAACGGATGTTGGATTTGATTGTAAGGTGATAAGAATAAAAATAATCATATAAAATTTACTCCATCTAAATACAAACAAATTGTAATGTAAATTACGAATAAAAATCATCATCATCATCATCATCATCAGCCCTTTTACGTCCCCGCTGCAGGGGCTCAGGCCTTCCTTATGGATGGTTAAGGAGGATGGGCCATGACCCTCCACGCTGGCCCAATGCAGATTGGAGGGTATTAACGGCTGCAAATGCAGCCGGGACCAACGGCGTAACGTGCCTTCCGAAGCACGGAGTAGCTCGAGATAGTAATTTTTTGGTCACCCATCCCGTGACCGAACCTTGCGAAAGTTGCTTAACGACTACGATCGCGGGCCGCGGCGCTTATTATATTTATTATTTTGTTTGGAAGTTACACCACATAGCTGTATAGACTAGAGTATGTAGCTACACCTAAATCAGTCTAAAAATCATGACCCGTTCATCATAAGCGACCTTATATTCGTAGGGAAAGCATATTAGCTTGACAGTGGGACTGGGAAAAAGCCGTTAATAAGGAAACTGTAATTACTAGACTTAGTTAATCACAGCACCATAGACGAGTGCTACTTTCGCAAGGGCCAGTCATAGAAAGGATGACCAATAATTTATTATCTGCTGCTCCTCCGTACTTCAGAAGACACGTTAAGGCGAGATAATACGAAATTACCACTTTTCCAACCAATTTTATTCTAAGGCTATGCCAATTAAAAATCGTTTTATGAAAATTTTGTCGATCGTTTGCAACAAACAAAAACATAAATTTAAAAAATTATTATTTTCGCTAAAATGACTCTAATAAGGTTTTTGGATCTACTTTACTATACTAATATATTTCATATTAATATATAAAAAATAGGTTTCAATATAATCTAAAATTATCAAAAGATTGTTTTTAAAATTGCGTTATTTTTTTTTATGTGAATAAAAATGTATGAAATCAAAGGACCGTGTCTTTACTCTCAACGCGTATTTATGGGAACGTAAGCTAAAGTTATGTATTCTTTCCATAGGTAGGTCTATGCCCCAACACTGGGGACATGATGTCCACACCACAAGCCGTTTTATTTTTATTTCGAGTCTTTTTTCAATTGAATATTGTTCATTCAAAAAATAAAAACCTTACCTTTTATTATGTTCTTCTTCATGTGTCTCATCATTTTTATGTGCAGGCATTGATGTAGGGATCACAGCAGGGGTTGGATACTGTAAAAAAAAGAGAAAAGTTATCTTTATAAATATAATAATTAGATAGATATAATATTCTTTATTATCTTCACTTGTCTCCCCGAGTCCATCTGTGTGTTTACAAACAGACGGACTCGGGAAGACAAGTGGATGCGGCTTACTTCGACCTTTTGAAGGCATTTCTCAAGTTTTTCGTAAGTTATCTCAAGGACCGTTGGCAATTTGTACGGTTGGGTATGTATGAGTCGGAAAAATTTACGCAATCTGGAGTAAGTCAAGGAAGTAACTTGGGTCCGACGTTCTTTATTAATTGTAGATGAGCTGCCCGAGTTTGTTACAACGGCGCAGTGTCGGTTGTTTGCAGATGCTCTAGGGGTAGCTAAAGTTGAAAATGCGAACGCATTGCAATGTGACATAAACTCTATTGCAGAATAGAGTTATATCAATCGTATGCCATTCAATGACTCTAAATGCAAAATTCTCACTTTTTCGCTATAACAACATACTACACATACTTAACAAAACTTAAAAAAAAAATTAATTAAAGGCTTGAAATTGGACTTTCGTAAACATACAGTACTTAACTGCTTTACAGATAGTAAAGCGGCAAATATACTTTAAGTTTTTATTATTAGGACATCTAATGAGTTTAACAACCTGTTTGTATCGGTTATGGTCGGCATTGACACTCTTGCACTTCGGCGAAAATTCCTCCTAGTTCAGCGTTACCTTTCTGTGCTCAACAACAAAATTGACTGTCTGTAAGGGGTACCTATATATTTGTTTTATTTAGCAATTTTATATTTAGGTAAACATACGAACTATTTTTATATTCATTTTTTGTTTGGTACAGTTTGTTTTCTTACCCATTATTACCATAAAATAAATAAATTCTCAAGCTAGTCAGCCTTTCATTAATTCGCCCAAGCATCGAATCCGTCACAGTTGTAAACATACTTTCATAGACAGGTTTCATGCTCTCCAATAAGTTTTCTAAATAAGAAATTCTAAATTAAAAGAATTCGAACAAAATTTCATCATAATCGAGACTGATGAAAATATGATCACTAATAGCGAAAGTAGTAACTGCTTGACATTGAATTCGTCAGTCCTGTTGAGTCTCGAGTAGCTCATTGGTAAGAGTGAGTCCCATCTCGGTTGCCAGGGACTAGTTAATTTTTTGAGTATTTATCAAAAAATTCTATTTATTAATAAACCATTGTGAATTTAAAACTGATCAAGTATAATAAATAAATAAATTCTTTTTATAACGAATTATATAGTCATGTAAATTGTAATACAATCATATGCAATCAGCCACTAACGACTGAAGACTTTATATTTTTGAAACATTCATAATACCTATTCCAAATGAAGTTTAATAGAAAAGAAACATCCAAACTCATCCGAGTAAACAGAAAATGAAAATATATACTTAATACCTAACTAATTCATTTATAAAATTGATATATCATTTGGCATAAAATTTGACTATAATATTTAAATTCAAATTAAAAAAAGGATAAAATAATATTTTCTTGAGTAAATACTTGTCATTACCTACTCTAAATAGAGTCTTGCTGGAAACACTAATAATAATAACACTTTAATACAAATGACGGGAGTCGAGCTGGAGGCTGGCACCCCGAGGTGACGCCACAAAGCGAGCGAGGGCCCTCGCCAGTCTCACAGGGCTACCATTAAATCAATACTTATATCATAAAAAGCTAAAGTTTGTCTATTGTTTGTAGGTTTTATCTTCGGAAATACTAATGCGATCATTCAATTTCTTTCACCTACGAGAAACTACATCATACGCGTGCGACATAGACGATAATTTACGCGGGCGAGAAAACCGACATCTATCTTAAAAAAAGCGAAATAATACTTATTTTAAAAGCTGTAAAATCTTTCAGGACAAATTGAACTCGAGCTGAGGTTTTCTGCAGATTATTAAATGATAACCAAAAGACTTCAATGTTTAAGATAAGTTTTATTTTCACATTTTTAAAGTTTGAACTCGGTATTGACGGTATTGGTCATATGCCTCCCCCAACTCCTTCCAGCGTCCATTCCATGATTTATTGGCTGTTTGAACAATATCATCGGACCATCTTGCCTTCGGTCTTCCTGGTTTCCTGCTGGATGTTCGTGGTCGCCATATCTTTGGCTCCAACGTCCGTCTGAGCATCTCATTACATGGCCAGTCCATGGCTCTTTAATTTAGCCACTCGCTTCCCTATATCCACAACACCAGTCCGTTTACTAGCAAATTAGTCATATAAGGTAAAGTTTATTCAGCTTTTCGGTGTTATAAAAGTCGAGTAAGTGTGAATTATTCAGCAGGTATCGTATAAAAGCATCTTATATAGCTTTTGAGTTATTCAGCATTTCGGTCACATAATGATGCTGAGTAAACGTTTAGTCAGCATCCTTATATGAGTTAAGTGTCATATAATATTTTGCTGAATAAGTCGCTAGTATACGACGCTTATGTTACTATTTCGTCGAGTAAAAGCAACATTGTTGCTTTAATACTACTATTATGTAGTATACGTCGCATTTATACGACTATTACAAGCCTAAAATGTCGTATAATTGTATCCATTACACCGATCAGATTGTTTTGTGTAAAATGCTGTGAGTAGTCTACAGTTATCGAAAATGGACTGGAATAAATGGAAAAACAAACAAAAAGTCTTTTTTAGAAAACTTTTTAGGAAGTTCTAAGGAACCCTAAACTATAATCAGAGGGTATCATGGCGCTCATACTGCTAATTTGCTGTATAAGAAGCTATTATACCGCCTGTCAGCAGTAAAAATGGCGTACAAAAATAATATTGATATAAAAATATTTGTTATTATATTCATATTACTAAGAATTAAAGGGGGGCGTTAAATATTTATGATATAATCTAGTATATTTCCTCAGAAAACTTACCTTCGCAATACTTTACAACCCTATGCGTGAGTTTACGAACCTACATTTGGTGCAACCTACAAATTAACATGTCTGCTAAATAAATTGTACTTACCGATGAATTATAATTTTTAAAACACAACACGTCGAAATGTTTTCAGCTGTTTTGTATCCCAGGTCGCTTCAATAAGACAAACATGTCATATAAAAGTCATATAAGTTACAGTTATAGCGCAACATAAGCTTGTAACAGTCACTCCGGCGATAATTACGTGACGATTTACCTGAATAAGTTACCTTTATACGATGTCTATGTGACTGAATTGCTGAATAAAATGGGCCCAAATCGCGTTGTATAAACGTTTTCATTACGTTTATACGACTTCTATTAGGAGCCAAAATGCTGAATAATTTTCGTTGCCGCGACTACTATACGACATATTTTTGCTAGTTGGGTAGGTAGGTATCACTAAAATATTAACAGCTACTTTGACAGAAAGTGGTTCATAATTCACGAAGAAATCGGTGAACATACCTACTTACATAAAATATCAGATTTTGAATGAATGCAAAGTACGTTATCTTTTGTTTTTTTTTCGCTGATATAAACATGTCTTCAAAGTATTTAGGTGATATCTGATGTAAAGCATATTTTGTTTTGTTATAAAAAGAAAACTACTGATTTGATTTCGATAAAACTTAAATGGGACAATATCGGCCCCTTTTGCTGTCGAATAAAAAAAGAATCATGAAACTCGATTTATAATTGGCGGAATAAACGCGTAACAAACACACAAAAAAACATACAGTCGAATTGAGCACCTCCAACTTTTTAAAGTGTGTAGCATGATTTTCTTTTTTTTTTTTTGTACAAATTGTTAATAGCTGTTCTTGTCTGTCAAAATCAAAAGAGGCAGAGGAGAGGCATCAAAAGAGGCTGTCAAACATTTGGCCAAATTAACAAAAAAGTAGGTATCAGAAATGACTTGGGGTTGGCGCAATATGTCTTCTTCTGTATTGGCTCATCATTTCATCGGCGCCACTCTCTTGCTTTCTGAACCGAATACTCAGTTTATCACCAAATTATTAATCCCTAACAAAGCAGTGACTTATTGTCAAGCGAGATACATAGCTATGTATTTACACAGACTCATAGACTGTCTTTATAGGAAACTTGGAAAACTAGAGACGTTACGTAATTAGTAAAACTATATAACAATTTACACAAATAAATAACTCTTAACGAGACCTCAATTATTAAGATTATCAATGACGATATCGTATCAATGATATATCCTAAAGTATCAACCCTAGCTTCCAGACTGAAGAAAAAAGCAAAGCTCGTCCGCCAGCTAAAAATAGAGATCGTGCCTTAATTGCACATCTTGGAATTTACTGCACATGATGAGCTGTTGTTGATAACTACGTACCAGTCGGATGTGCACATTGGGATGGCAATCAGAGTAACTATTACATGAGATTTTTGATTGCTCGCACGATATTATAATGTTCGACGTTGATATGTGACTGCAAACACGTAGAATTTAATGTCGTTTTAAGAGGTAGAAGAAAAAGATTCGATTACCTTTTTTTGTAGTTGACGAGTTACAAATGATAATGGTCTCATAAAAATCCTATAATGAGTTTATGGATACATCCTAAAGTAGATGACCACTCTTTATAAATATAAGAATGTAATATTAAAATTGGTTTCAGCGATCATTCTAGTTAAAATTAAAATTACAAAACATTTTCAAAAAATCTCACTCAGATAACGGCACACAACATGGCTGGTTTTATTTCTCGTTACATAAATACTGTTTTATTTGAAGCAAATTCTGCAGATTGTCAGCGTTACTCTCAAGCCTTGATCGTCATAACATCTTAGCAATGTTATTATTTATTTGTTTTGATATTTCATATTTTGTTACATTTTACTACTTTGACATGTCGTTTGGTGGATAAATTGGGATAAATGACTAAGGCAACACTGCTTTTAAATCTATAACCATAATTCTGTATCGTTCGTTCGTCGTTACTAAAGTCGATAATACCAAAAGAAACGAAATATCGATGTCATATGCCCAATTCAACGATTGGCCTCATTATGTCACATTATGACAACCTCGCAATATTATGTCGTATTCTATATTCTATGGCTAGAGAGTTAGGCTGTCGCACTCCTGCCCTGCGATTCTGAAAAATTAGTCATTTCGAGGTTCACTTCGCTTATGCCATAAAACGTTATTACCAATTCAAGGATGAGGGGATGCCGCTTTTTGAAGTGAATTCAGACACCTGAGTGAATTCGAATTCAGGTTTAGAATTCTGATCTCGAATTGTTGTTGAGTAGTCTCTGATTCTTTTTTAAATTTTGTATTAGGAACTACATGCGTACTTGAAGAGTTGACTACTATTTAATATGAATGAATTAAACGACCTTCTTTGTTACGTTTTTAACATCTCTCTTTTTTAATCAATTTCAGTTCTGGATGCAAATTGCATATTACTTTGTTATTTGTCATCTTGAAATTTTTCAAATATATACTTTTTTGACACTTATTAAAATAACGAATCACTTTATAATTTATCACAATGTTTCATCTGTCATATTCTATTATTATTCAATCAAATAGCTTCACCCTACTATTTTAAAATTTCATATCATTGCAAAACCCTGCAGATAAATTTACATTGTAAATAACTATGGAAGATATAATCTTCTTTATAGGTTCTGGTGAAGTCTCTATATAATAATTTCAGTAAATACCTAATATTACTATATAGCGTCAAGTAGCCGGTCCAATAAAAGCTGTTAGTATCGCTGTCCGTCATTAAGAACAAAAACCGTTATATCATTTAATAGTTTAATAGTCTAGTAATTTTAGAAACAAGTACGAGATAAAGTCTTGTTTATATATTGCGATATTTTCAGATTTCATAACATAAATTTTAAGGTGGACCTCCACGGTTTCTGATATGGATCCTCAAAAGCGGCAAACCTGTTTTTATACATACGTGACTTATTTTAATTTGAATAATGTGTAGATTATTTATTAAGAATTATGAAATTATAGCTATCTACCGGATTTCAATCCTGTCTATAATAATATTATACAGAGAAAAAATTTGTTTATTTTCATATTAACATTGAATAGGCTCCAAAACTACTGAACCTATTTGAAAAACTCTTTCACCTACGGTGGCGGAGGCTATAATTTATGACGGCGAAACCGCGGCAAAACAGCTAGTACTAAATATTTATCGTTTCCGCCATATTGCTGCGCTATTTTATAGGTGTTTTACACTAAAATAAATCATATAGCATACGATTACAAACTGATGAGGTTATTAAATTTTTTTAGATCTAAACGCATAAGATTTTTACACATTTCTAAATGAACATACATATTTATTAGAACAATGGCTATTTATACTAGTTTTACTCACTTATAATAATTTAGACTACGAAATGTATGCTATAATGATTTTATATTTCATGACTGAATCAGAAACAGACTTATATTCATTAATATTATCACAGAAAACATTGTCATTTGCTAATTGTAGTACTGTAACATAAAAATTAAAGCTGATTATGCTCATAGGTACGTATAAAAATACGGCCCACATATAATCATAGGTTTGAGAACCATATTTTTATAATGTCACCATAACCACATTCTTGTCTGGCTTTTGCTATGATGATATATAAATATACGTACATACTTTTTAAATATTTTTAATTTAGATATCCTTAAGTTTTAATTGATTTTAAACGCACATAATTCTATTTCGGAATTATTATGTTTCAGAAAAAACAAAAAACATTTTCCTACACTCTGATCACATTGCCACCAAGAAATTGTATATTATGAAACATTGTCGGAAACTGTTTTAGACAAATCGTATCGTACATTGTAAATAGATTCTCTTACTGTGTTTACGTTTAAGCTCGGTCACGAGTCGACCGCATTTGTGAATAAGAAATGACTTCAAGTTTCCTTATTATAATATGGTTAATTGCTTTTCTAATTTTAGCAATAGATTAATTATTTTCGCATGTTCAAAGATTCTTTGTGGTTCTATCTACACTAATGTTTTAAAATAGTAAATGTTCTGACTTTGTTAGTTTGTTTAATTAAACATACATATCATCTTAATATTTAGGCGATATCTTGTGAAAAGCGTATTTTGTTACTTTAACTTTTGTTACATAACTTTCAAACCAATGCAAGTGAC